TAGATATATGTTCATGTATAAGATAATGATGGGTTTCACAACTTAGACCGTATATACTGCCCCTGACTATTTTCTACAATTACCCTATGTCATGACATATAAACAATGGTCACTTAATAAAACAAAACATTAATTAGAAAGTAATGTGCCCCAACACTGTACCTGTACTGTACTGGCATACTGTAGTATACTGTATTCTGATCCTGAAGCTGAAAAAAGTTATGCCAGCTTTTATACATTAACTTTTTTTCACTGTGAAAAAAATTTTTGATTTTCAATAAGAGAGATGAAAGCACACTTCAAACTTTACATAATGATGCCCATATAGGTGACATCTTGCAGCTGCAGCCAGACATGGAAATTGTATCTGCCTCATTTGACAGCTGGACATTAATGTTGGGTGTTTGAGCTTCTTCGCTTCTCCAAATAATTTACGTTTACAATACTTAAAGACTTCAAATAGATTCATTACTTTAAAGAGCTATGACACTGATGTTATTATTCAAGTACCGATAATCAGGTGTGTACAATAGTCTGTGATCTACATAGTATAAAGCTGAGGAAGTAAACATTTATTAGTTGTAATTATTTGGTTGTAAATCATCCACAGTCCCTATAATTTGCATAGTTATGTGCCACCATTGGAAGTTAAACAAGTAAAAGGAGACATACTTATCATTAAGTGTATGTAATGTTCTCTCACTTATCTCCTGCATGTTTCATAACTGAAGTATTTTGCTTGTCTTGTACATTTAGTGCACAGCTGCAATGGATATTCTGTAAGGAGTACACATACTAATACTGTACAGTATTCCCTCAAAGCACATTTTGTTAGAAATGTAAATTTTTTGTTATTATAAATTTGAATTACTGTACTGTACTGTTCTTCATGCCAGTCCACCAGATATTTAGATATAAATGTTTGGGTTAGTTAGCCAAGTTATTACATACTTTGTGGAAGGTGGCTGTGTTAGGCTTGGTGTGTACCAAACTTAAAATGGGACCTTGTGACAGCATGTACCAACTCACATGTTAGTGGTCTTGCATTCATGATGGGCTGATGATTGTTATTAAGAATTTCATCCCTATAGGCAGATTCACATTGCACAGACTTGTATTTGACGAGGAACAACTGTATTAAGAGTCAGGAAGTGATGTAGAACACGATTCCACACATTGACCCACATAATGAATGTCTGGTACAAAAAGGGCCCTTGCAATATACAGTACTGTAACTGAATTTGCATACTGTACTGAACTTGTAATTGATATTGTTACAAAAAACTTTTATTATATTACATAAAGTGCTAATTGTCATAATTAAGGAGTGCAAAGAAGGTAAACCATTATCTTTCCAAAACTACCTTATTGGCTGAAATAAATCATTGTTCTTAAATACTGAACTTGTACAATATACCAAAACAGATGAAAATATAACAACAATAGATCATGACAGTTGATCAGAATTCATAACTTGCTTTATTCCTGTTAGGGTACAGCTCCTATGAATGTGAATTGTGGAGGCTTTATTTTTTTTTTTAAATTTGAACCAATTTTTTATTTTTTTCCACTTGTCTTATGTCCAGTTTTTCTGTACACTATCTACTGCTTGTTTCATTGTTTTGGCACTTCTTTATTATTTCTGGTGTGAGACTCAAGGAATGTGGGGATTACACTGTGATTGTATCTTAATCTTGAAATAAGTTCTTACTTAACTCGTGCAGTAATTTTGATGTGTTAGGCTGTGTAGTACAGAAACATTTGTACTGGTAATCTATAGGTATTTGATTTATATTTCTGAATGTTCAATAAATTTCAACCTCATGTCAGCTAAAATCCTAGCTTTTGTTTTTCCACAATTGCTGGAGGGAACCACTTGTATTCAAACCCTGTTTTCACAATTCTAGATTCATTCATTTGTACAGATTTTATACTTTACAGTATTTGCAAGAATATAATATATTAACGTATATTAATGAAAGAAGTTATATCTCAGAATTTGTATTAATTTTAGATTAAATAAGAAATTAATTGGATTGATTTGTATACTTTTTAAACTACTGTACTGTACTGTATGTGTTTTCAGTAACTGTAATACTGTACAGTACAGTTAGGTATGCTATAACGAATTTAATTGGTTCCAGAACCTCGTTAGATTATAGCATTAAGTTAGATATAGGATTAATCGTTCCAGGCTAAAATACAACCACTTAACACTGAAAAAATTCTGTGGGAAAATGTAAAAATCACGGTACTTTATCTTACCTTAGTGTTTGTTCAGCATGCAGGACAGGGAGGCAGAGGGGGAGGGAGGAGAATTATGGAGAAGAGAGATTGGAAGGAGAGAGTCATCCTTCCTGGTCCTCTTTATTGAGCTATCTCTAGGCACACTTTGTCTAGTTCTTTTATTACATTTGTAAAGATGGAATCAGGGGTGGCTGCTTCAACCTTGATTTCTGGACCTTCAAAGTAGTTCATAACATTGTCATTAAACACACTGATGGCCTTTTGCACAGAACCAACATCAGGATGATAATCCTCCAACAGTTTGGATGGCAACCAGCAAAGAATGCATCCTTGAGATCTTTGGCTGGATATCTGGCTTTTCCTCCTTGTCCTCCTCTCTCCCTGACTCCTCAGAAGTTAAGCTCCTTCAGTGTTATATATTTTCCTCTTTGTGAAGCTCAAGCAGCTCCTCAGTGGACAGTTCATACTGTGCTCTTCCACCAACTCCTCAACATCATCATCATCCACTTCCAGGCCCATGGGGTGCCCAGAGCCACAATTTCTGAACAACAGCCTCTTCTTCTAGCTTTCTTTGAAGCCTTCAAAAGTCTCTTTGAAGGACACATTCAGAGCCACAATGGCCTCCAAGCTTGGCACCTGAGGCACCTCTGGTAACCTCTTTCCAGGCTAGGGGTAATTAAAAAAAACAGTGTCTTCTATATTAGTGACTCTTCAAAATTCCTTCAAGCTAACATCACTGGAAGAGGTGGGCATAAAACATTTCTAAAGCAGTGCCTTTGTGTACAGCTTCTTAAAAGTTAGAAAATACCTGTTGATCCATGGGCTGGATGAGAGGTGTATGCGTGTTGGGTAACAAGGAGTGCACAGTGATGGTTGAACTCTCTGGCAATTCAACCATCAAATTAGGAGGGTGAGTTGGTGCATTGTCCATCACCAACAAAGCTTTCAGTGGAAGATTATTCTCCTAGGTATTCCCCGAACACTGGGTCCAAACACCTCAATCACACCCCACTCAGAGAATAAATTCCTGAGTGCCCAAGCCTTTGGGTTTGACCGCCCACATAACACCAAGAGGTCTTCTAATTTTTTTTAGAAAGCCCTGGGGTTTTCTGCATAGTACACAAGGAGTGGCTTTATTTGCAGTCACCAAACGTGCTAAGAAAGGAGGGTAAGCCTGTCTTTCGTTGGCTTGTAATAGGATTTCCTCCTTAGCAGCCTATGTACAAGCGAGGCATTTTTCAAAAGTTCAGTTTCATCACAGTTGAATACCTGCTTTACAAGAAACAAAGCCTCCCTCTTTAATAATATTCAAAAAATGTCATGGTGTTCCTTAGCTGCTTCACCATCACTAGCAACATCACCATATCCTCCACCACTTTCTAACATTTTTATTTCTCCTTCTGAAACAGTAAACCACTCCTTAGTTGCCCTAAGCACTGGCACATCACTGTCACTTGCACTGGATCTTGGCTAGGTCCTCAAGTAATTGTCTGGCCTTCTCACAAATTATAGCTTCACTAATGCTATCACCTGCCATTCTTTCTCCTTTATCCACACTAAAGGCAGAATTTTCCAACTCCTCAATCACATTACCTTGCTGCTAAGTCTAGAGATTCCCTTAGCCCTTGCACTGTTTTCCAACTCTCTTTATTCTTTAAAATCATTTATATAATCCGATTTAGTCATCCCTCTTTCATCACTAAGTTTCATAATACTTGTTCATCCTCCGCGTTTCTTTATGATTTCTTTTCTTAGTTTCAGAGTTATGAGCTTTCTCACTGTTTGGACGATTCATTGTCTGGTGTACACTTATATAACAAAATATTTATACAAATAACTCTATTTCCACATCAAAGACAGAAATTTCAACAATAACAGTGTTGCACTGGCTACACAATGAGACAAAGATGGTAGCCTGGCGGCGCTCTTGTTGTGGAGTCAGCGGTACAACAATATTCATTGGGCCAGGCGAAATAGTTCCGTATTCATCCGCTGTTGTAGGAGTTATGTTATATAGCATTCTCAATTTTATAGGTAAAACCGTTTGTTATAGGAATATTCGTAGTAGGATCCGTTCGTTATAGCATACCCCACTGTACATAATTATGATAGTAGTGTATAATATATCCAATTTTTGGCATTAAAATTCCCTCTTTAATTCCTTCCTAAGTACAGTATACAGTACTTTAAATATACCCATACATACAACTACAGCTTATGAATTATATACAGAATACCAAACATACATGTACTACATATGTAAGATACCAGAAGTACTGGTAGATTGATTTTGATATGAATATCCTCACTCATCTACTTCCATGAAGCAGATAAAATTGACCAGTTTACATCATACCCTTTTGCATTAGAAGTTTGTTTTGAACTGGCTGAAATGGTTGTCTTAGATATACTGTACAGTATCATTATGCAGAATTTTTAATGAGCACATGTGTATATAATATGTACAGATGCTAATGAAACTGTGATTATGTCTTGCTTGGTCCACTATCAAAATTCATTGTAAATTTAACTTTTGTTTTATATTCTTCCATTTCTGCTGTACATTAAACTTTTGTACTCAATCATAAATCATAACCTTACTGTCTTAAAAACATGTTACTGTTTGATACTTTATAAAATATTCTTTGTGTGATTTTAAATCATTAATGCATGAGGTGTAGTCCATAGTGTTTGCTTCTTCATCAATTGTAATACTATCGACTTGTTACTAATACTGTCATTTTGCATTGCAGGTTTTAAGTGCCCCATCTGCTCCAAACTTGTGTTGCCTGATGACCTGGAATGTCATCTGGTTATCTGCCTCACCAAACCACGCATCAGCTACAATGGTGAGTCTCAGCAAGAATATCCCAACCTGTGGTGTAATGGTCAGCACCTGGACAGAGAAGGATGATGTTAGTGATAATACAGTACTTATGGCTGAGAGGGGCGTGGGGGCGTGTGTTGTCTCATACCTACTTGTGGCTTATAGGGGTGTCAACTGTGTCATATGGCACCCACTTGTGGCTTATCAGGGTAAGGTGTGCATCAACTCGCACCCACTTGTGGCTCGGGGGTGGATGTTTCATATGGCACCCATAATCCAATAATGTATTCCCCATGCATTTTGTATATTTTTGGCCATTGTATTTTTCACTGGAATATTTTATGGTTTACTTTACATATCAAGTGGAAATACAGTAAATATTTAAATTTAAGTGAATGAAAGAGTAACATTTTAGGACCCAGATCATAAAACCTTACTTCCCATTAGGCACCAGTGATTTACAGTTTGCAAAATTTATAATCCATTGTTATGTCAGGGTGTAACCCCACTGATTAAACAAATGCACTGTTCATTGTATTGATTATGTCTTTATTGTACATTATATGAAAATGTGTAAAATGATATCTTATTGCAGAGGATGTGTTAACAGAGGACAAGGGGGAGTGTGTTATCTGCCTGGAGGACCTCTGTCAGGGAGACACTATTGCACGACTACCTTGTCTTTGCATATACCACAAAACATGTATCGATGAGTGGTTCCAGGTGAGTTGTCTTACTTCTCTACAGAGTTACTTGAAAGGGCTGCGTATTGGTATAAAGTACAGTACAGTTTTGTCCCCATTATTTGTCATTTCACTTAAGTGTCACTCATCAATTTGGGGAATATAGCATTTTACCATTATTTGTCATTTACTTCCTGCATACTCATCGCTCACACTACTCGCATGGCAGATAACCATAATAATTCAAGACATAAAAATGCAGTACAGGTAAAATGAAGATAAAAACACCAGATAAATTTAAATACAGTACTGTAAATGCAAATTAAATATTTTAATGTTTTAATTTCCTTTGATATGAATACAAGGACTATTAATGTGTGTACTGTACCGTACATAGCTCACTGTGGCTGTACAATAACCTATGTGTCTAAAACTAACAGGGCACTCCAGTCATCAATATGTACATAAGTGCATAGCTAATAGAGTGTACCTGGTAGGGATGAATGGAAAAATGCAAGTTAAAACCAAAGAAACAGAAAAATAGAAAATAGGAAAACATGATGAAGTGGGTAGTAGCAGAGATGAAAGAAAGTGGTAAAATAATCTTTGTCAACATAGGCATCCCATTTCTTTTACTTGGCATGATATATTGACTATAGTAAATGTTATAGAATAATATTTTTCATATTTTGTTTACATTAATTCATGTTTTCTATATTTTTTCAGGTGAATCGATCATGCCCGGAGCATCCTTATGATTGAGGCTATGCACATTTGTAAAAAAAAAAAAAAAAGAAAATGCCTATGTGCCATTACTGTTCATTGTGCCAGTTGGGATGCGTCATGTATGTGTGGACGCTTACCCACAATCTTGGGAGGGGAGGACCTGTCTCTTATTCACACTGTCTGTTGTTGCAAGTAGAGGAAGGTACGAAGGAGTGTGTGCATCTTGACCTCTGTTTTGATGGTGGAACTGGTGATATTTTACAGTGCTTACTTCACTTGTGATTGAAGCTAGAAGCATATTTAAAATTTGATGATGTCTGATGCATTTTTTGAAGCATAAGAGTGTGGCATATCAAACATTTCTTTGTTTGATGAAGAAGGAACTTTGAAGTGTGTATAGCACTCTTAGCTTATTAAGGCAAAGAAACAAGTGATTCAACCTTTAATTTCTGATATATTTGACTATCAATAAGGTGATGGTTTCTGATGACTGTGTTTTCTAAGTGTCTTGAGAAATGAGAAATGCCAGAATATTTCTAGATACCCAGTAAATACTGCCAAGTCATATGCCAGTATCTTGAAGAAAAACTAATAGAAGAAAATTTACAATGATACTTGATTGTTCTGTATGGTGAATTTTGAAAAGGAACTGTAGTTAATCTCTATAATAAAATGTTCATGCATAGGTCCCAGATGAAAAGGAGATGCCCGAGTCCAGATCTTTGTAATGCTTGTAATACAGTATTGGCTAAATCACTTCTGATAATATTTATTTCTTTTTTCCTAATTCTGGCAAGCTGGTCTTTGTAAGTTACTTTTAGTAATTATAGATAATATGAAGTACAACACATTGGCTTGTCAATGGACTCCAGGATGTGGTGATATATTTTCATTCTTTCATTGCTAACCACAAGTTTTATTTTCATTCTTGTATGAATCTTATATCAAAGCATCAGAAATAAACTGCAGCTTTATCTTTACACTGGTTTTATAGAGTTTGCAGTGCTCAGGTAGTAGACTAGTGTTACTGCCATGAGAAAGGAAAAGAAAAAGAGCCTCAATAAATTTTTTTGTTGGTAAAGAAATGCTCATGGCCACAGGAAATGTGATAAAAAGACCAAAATTATCTCCACTTATAAAAATATTGTCTAGAGTGATTTACCATTCACCTAAACAAACTCAACTCCAGGGAAACTCAAGTATTCATTACAAAAATATCTAATGAAAATTCTGTTATGGGAATAATTTATTGACTATTGTGACAATGTGTTGATGTCAACTATTTCCTAATAAAATTACTGACATATGTAACAACCTCTGAAAAAGTTGCAGAATGGGTGATTTCTATATTTTTGAATAGTCCTTTTGGATATTTTTTGTGATCTCTAAACAAATCTTTTCTATAACTGTTGACATCATCACCCGAGTCAATGTCTAAGATTCGAGGACATACATTGCTCTTTGGGAAAATTCCTTCATAGGCCAATTTGCTCATGATATTGCACTGTAGACCACAAAACATAGTTCCTTTCTGTGTATAAGCCAATGCTGGTCATGTTCATTCTCACTGAAAAATGGTGATTGTCACATGATTAATTTTTTAAGGAATTAATTGCCTGAAATGCTCACATGCAGTGAACAATATATATATATATATATATATTATATATATATATATTATATATATATATATATATATATATATATATATATATATATATATATATATATATATATATATATATATATATATATATATATATATATATATATATATATATATATATATATATATATATATATATATATATATATATATACATATATACATATATACATATATACACAGTATATATATATACATAGTATATATATATATTAATCAGGACCTATTGTACATTTGATTTTAATAGCTTTCATCATTCAGGGATATTATGATACATACAGTGGATACTGCACTTTTTTTCATTCTTGGTGTGTTACTGTACTTGACAAAGTGGATCCCTTAATGACTAGCCTGTTGGGTTGTTTTGTTTTAAGCAGTGGAGGTTGTACTTTCTTGCAAGGTGTTAAATTAGATCAGTTATTTGTGTGGTTCGTGGTATTTTGTTTTTCACATTATATATATATATATATATATATATATATATATATATATATATATATATATATATATATATATATATATATATATATATATATATATATATATATATATATATATATATATATATATATATATATATATATATATATATATGAGAGATGGATGGCTCTTAACATATTTTATTTTGGGTTATAAAACAAGTGTACTGTACGTATTCCATTTTCGGAATAGCAACTTCATGCATATGTTGAAATTCAAGCCTTGCTCAGATGAGATTAGATTAGTTTTGGTATTTAATGAATTATTTGTAAACTGATGATGATGACCAACAGTTAGAATGTGGCCACATGAGAAGTTGGTGTACTGTCTACAGCACTAGGGAAGCTGTACCAATATTAAACGTGGTCTGCACGGTCCAGAATGCATTATCAATCTAATCCTGGATCATGTATTGTACAGTGATTTGTAAGTTGAGGAAGGAAGTGCTAATGTTGCCCTCATGTTTACCAAATGGATTTGTTGGGCTTAGTAATTTGACCGAGGTGCATTATATGGCATTATGACATAAACATTGGTAGTGATGTTATACTGTACAGTATAATGCTGTTATTAACAATTTCTCACTACCTTATGGGCAAAGCTTGTTTAAAATAGATTAGATATTTTGTAATCAAAACTAGAAATAAAAGGTATGTTGGTGTGTGTGTGTGTGTGTGCGTGCCTGTGTTTGTGTGTATAATATATATATATATATATATATATATATATATATATATATATATATATATATATATATATATATATATATATATATATATATATATATATATATATATATATATATATATATATATATATATATATATATATATATATATATATATATATATATTTATATTATACACACAAACACACACACACATGAATGAAAAATTTGGTTTTAATAAAAAAAAAAGTGTATTGTTTGGGACGGGTAGATGGTAGTACAGATTTTGTATGATGGTTCAACAAGCATTAGCATGGATTCCTGCATTCTTCATTAGAATGATGGCCCTTAACACTTTTCTGCTATCATAATCCTATGTCGTAATGATATTGTAACTAAAACTCTAGTGATTCCATGCCTGAAGGTTGTAAATAACGGTTGTCTCTCTCCCTCTCCTCTGCGTCTTCCCCTCCCAGACACCCCCTACACAGGAGTCCTTTGCTCTGCCTGGTATATTCTATATTCTCAACTTCTGCTGCCTTCTTCATAGCCCTAGATAAATGATATTTCTTTGAACACACTCATCACAGAAGTTGCTATTCAGTTTAATTTTGTTTAAAGACATTAAGCCATGGATGATATGTGAACTAGTAGATATGTATTGGTTGGCACTGTGATGGCTGATCCCGATCATTTTCAGGACACATCGTTTCTAGTTCATCAGAATGATAGTGGTGTATTGATCAAAGCTCTCCCTCCCCTTGCCCTTACTGTAGTTTTCTTTCTCTGCTTTTAACTAACATGCAGCATCAGTGATGGGTTGCACTGTTTAACAGATCCCTATGGGGTGATGAATGTTATTTCTGCAGTGGAGTCACATCCTTGTTGAGTGTGTCAGCAGAACTACCATACCACATCTCTCTCTTACCATGTGGTTTTCATACTTTGCATGGATCCACTTTCACATGTGTATCATTGTATAGGTCCAGAGTATTTTATTACCCTACTCAGATGTATATTACACTAAAGGTGCAATGATTTGATATATGTTGTAGTTTTGTATATATATTCTATAAGTGATATTAATCAAAGAAAATTGGCTTTCATCTTGACATCTGATATTAGAAATATGGAAATTCATTAGAAATGAATTTTTGGAAATAGAAAAACGTGATTTATTCTTTTAGTTGAAGGAAAATTTTGTACACTGCTATGTTGCCCAAAATTATGTACAATAATAAAGGCTGATGAATGTGTAATGTTGTATGACACCTTAAATCTAATGAATTGTCGGTTATTCATAAGAAATTTTTCTTACAAATGTATAATAACTATTTTTGTAGAAGTAACTCATAGCATTTTGTTTTGTCTGGATATATGAAAGTTATTTTTTGCTCGCCACCACAAGTTTATACTACAGTATATCCCTCATGTTGTAGTTGGCATTACCGTCTTTGTTGTTATTTATGTTGGCATTAATAAATGTTAACCTTTTTCATTTAAGGTCATATTTCAGTAATAAAACAGCACCATCACCAAATTTGATGGGTATGATTATCTAATGCTACTTTATCACCTCTAAAAACTAGATCACTGACCTATTTTGGGGGAAAATATAGGTTGTATTTTATGCAAGATGTAGCGATTAAATTGACACAGAAATCTCCTCCTGTCCTAAGGATTACAGTACAGTACTTGGTTCGTGCCCTAGACACGCCAAGTCCACCAAGCTGAAAATGGATACCTAGCCTAGAATGGGGATGTGAGGGAGTTTAAGTGCAGTGCCAGCCACACTCCTTACCTAAAAAATAAATAAGTAAATAAAATATCAAATACAAAATTTTTTGTATCTACACTGCTTCATATAGGCTGACAAGCGTATTGGACTCACTTTCAAGTTTATGTTCAACTCTGGTTCAGCACTGAGGCAGCTTACTACAGTCACCAGACTTAATATGCATAATCATCTAATAAAACTTCATCTCTCTCTGAAGTAAGTCCCTAGGCCTATATTTAAGGGAAATTTTTGTCATGTTAGATATCAACTCCAAAGGATAACTATTTTTCTAAACAACACACATAGATTTAAAGTCTGATACTGTATTAATTACATGTTTACTCACCAAAAGTGTTATAACATGTGCAATCACTTTTCAGAATTTGATGGTAAGCTTTTAAGTTTTGCATCACACCATGCATCCTGAGATAGTGTGACATCAATGTAGGCATGAGTAGAGAATATGCAGTTAAGAAATAAGGCCTTTAAATACTTATTGTTTCATGATTTTCTAACCACTCCAACTCAGCAACTCTCTCAATAGTGCTGCAAGACATACACATTGGAAGACTGTTGACCTCTGTCACTGGAACTGGGGGATTGCTCTTTCAAGTGTACCTCCCTCCTTGTTAAAAATTTTGCTTAAAGGAAAATTGGAAGTAAAGATTGTCTTCTAGAGGCCATTTCTAACTCTGCAATGAAACTCATTCAACCGATATTCCCTATCTTTGGATTTCACAATGATTTCCTTTGTCTCGACTTGTTACCCAAAGTGATAAGACATGTTCACTCCAGCTCTTGTCTTTACAGACATCTCTCAACTATAAAATAGACATCAAAGTAGTCTGCACCAGCAGACAACATTTAAAAGATGTAATGGAACACGAGTGATTTTGCACAACATAAAAGTAAACCTTGTACAAGTATACTAAGGGTAATTGGTTAACAAAATAATAATTAATTTAAATTGTTTTTATATTCAATACACATGGGGGCATTTTGTACAGGTGTTGCTGATTAGGTTCTGCTTGTACACTTAAAGATATTTTTTACAGTAAAGTTGATTTTGCTTGAGTATTCTTTATTATTGTAGTTAAAACCTAGCAGTGATCAGTGTAAATATTGATGCTTGTGGATTACATGCATATATAAGTGTGTCCTGAGGTGCACACATATGGGAAATGATGATCATATGTTTACATAACACCAAATGATAATATCCATCCCCAACCATATTATTTTATAGTACCCCATAATTATTCCTTCTAATTGGAACATGAATTTTAACTTCTGTTTATTGTTTAGTAAGTGAATAAATAATTACATTATACAGTAACCCTCTCTAGTTCCTGTACACTGTATCCTTTGATAGCCCCTCTACACAAGTAAATGATTACATGTACTGGTGCCACTAGTATTGTACCTGTAAAGAACTGTTGGAACTCAAAATAACATTATTAAAATGAATACTGATTTACATTCCATATTATTACACAACCAAATTAAGATTCATTAAACATTAATTATGACATTTATGAAATCCATTATACTCTTCACTAGGGCCATCATAATTAATGCGGCTTCAAAGACTCTAGCTTATACTGTATACTTCACCATGCAGACACAATTTTTTTTTTTTAATAATTTCACCACTCATCAGCTGTTTGGGCTATTGGTCTGGCTTTTATGTATTATTTTCTTATGAATTGTATTGTCTACTATTAGTACAAGAGGAAAATGGATTGCTCGGAGGAAATCTGTGAGATTTGGTAGTGTCACACTGCATACAGTAACACCCTTCTCACTTGTGTCCACCGGCTGGGTCAGGATTAAAATCTATGACAAATTAAAGATGTCAGTTTTGACGTATTACTGCTGTACCAAAACCACACATCACATTACTCATTTTGTTTCTAACCCCAAACACATAAAGCTTAGCTATTTTGTTGTGGTTCATTGTAAGCCAATGTTTGGGGCATAATCAGAATCCTTCTTAGATATTGGATTGATCCCAACACTTACAATTTATGAACATCATTCCTCGTTGATTGGCCACTACACCATGATCTACGGCTTCACAGTGCATGGCCCAGCAGACTCAGTATTCCAATTTGAGTTGCACTGAAACTCACTGGTCTCGGTGGCTTGTCAATTAAAATATTTTTCACATGCCATCTTATTGTATGTTTGCACTCCTACTAACACTTTCCTCTTAGCAAAATGTTTTACAGTAATCTTGTATTATTTAATGGCACAAAATCATGTGGATGAGAGTTCTTATTTGAGAGTGGGTTTGTCAGTACCTTTCATGGATAGGATTTTATTTATTTAATTTTTTGGACAACAAAAGATTCCTACTATTTTAGACTAGCTCGGGTGGGTTAGTTTGGTTTATTCTATGTACAGTACAGTACAGCGTAGTAGTAGTTTCTAGGGTCCGGGTTATCCAGCCACCTAACGAAAATTCTCTATTGAAAAAACTTGTCTTACCTTAAGACCGCAGTAAGTCTTGACACCTGAGGTGCTGGAATGCAGGCACCAATTTGTTGTCGCTCTTTAGGACGTTCTCAATAAACTGACAGTCTCCAGCTAGCATATCTCGGGGGACCAGACGGAATGACAGTACTGTACTCCAAGTTGGGGAGCACCTCACCTTTGAAGACAGTTATGAGTGACTGACCCTCTAGGTATGTAAACGATCTTCATATAAGTTTTATTTGCTTTTTTACTGAACTTGATTTACCTTATTTTCACATTGATCGAAGAACACAATCTGAATGAGGTGGGCAAAAAATAAAAAGTTTAAGAGTAGTGTTTGAGGTACAATATATGGCTTCGGTGAAGAAAAGTAGCTTATATAAAGCTTGTGTGGTTTCCAAACTACCAACATGTCTCTCCATGCTTCTTAGGTATTCATCTCTAGATTATTTCTGACCCACTTGTCACGTGGTGGTTGGAGGGATGGTTTATTAGAAAGAATCCACCTCTACATTTGTAACACATTTGTATTTTGGTAATATTGATTGTTGATATGAATAGGATACTTCAATCTGTAATGGATTTCAGAAGGGGATTCCATTTTCTGTATGTAAACTCAGGAAGAGAAGAACAAAAGGCTCCTATTCATACACAAATCCCAAGGTTAAAAATGAGGTCTAAGCCTTTATTTATGAACATTGGTGGAGGCTGAGGAGTGAAGAGTAGACTTGATTCTCGATATCTAGTTTTAATCTAATAAGGGAAAAGTAAAGAGGGAAGAGAGTCAGTTGACTTGATCCCCCCAAAAGGTAAGACATTGCATTTGGTGTCCCCACTCACACTTCTGATCAGAATTATCAGATAAGTCTTAAAGATATTTCAAAGAAACTTCCTAAACTCAGTATATTTCACTCAACATGTACCCATCCACCATCCATTCTCCTCTTTCAATTTCTACAACTACACTAAGCATAAATTTCCACAGCATCGTGCCTGTGCATGCTCTCTGGTCAATTTATATTAGAGGTTCATAATTAGAACCTTGGGAATTTTATCTTTATAATCAATAATTTAGACAAGTCTAAGACACTTTTCTTCTATGACGTTTCATTTGCAAATTACCTCTCTTATCCGGGAATCCCCGGCATACTGTAGATCATATGTGAGGGAAACCCGGAAGCATCATAGAAGAAAAGTATTTTAGAATTGTCTAAAATATTGACTGCAAAGATCAAGTTCCCGACATTCTATCCTTTAATATAAATTTACCTGCTCTCTTACACCAAGGAATTTCAACCCAAGACTTAGATGTTATTATTAGGACCGAGACTTGGCTGACTCTAAATGCATACTCTAATGGAGTCTTAATTCTTACCTGCCTTGCAGTACAGTAGTGTACTGCATAGAGATGCTGATGCAGGTAAAGGTGGGGGTGTTCTCATCGCCAACAAGCCAGGACTTGCAGCTAGACATGATAGACCTTCAGACTGTGAATCATGTGGACCTAGTGAACTACTCATCTCAAGCGATCTTGGGTAGAGCAGGCTCGATCATATAAGACATCACATGACAACTTACACAACTAATTTTTTCTCATCACTTCTCTCAATTGTCCCTCAGGAGGGGTCATACCGGAAGTCTAAAACACCTGTATGAATAAGCATAGTATACCAAAAGACACCATTCAGTGACACTCAATTCTCTGGTTCAATAGACAATTACAGGACATCACAAAAAAATATTAGTTATACAAACGAGCACAGACTTAGGACACAATTGCAAATTTATAAAGAACAGATTTAGAAACCAAAATAATCCCAATCGAAGGACATAGACTTCCAGTTGTGCATCGCTCCTGAGGTCCATTCAAACCTTAAAGATTTCTATTGTAGTGGATTTCTCCCCTACAAACGCTGTTTGTCGCTGAGTAGCCGACCCCACCAATTCCCCAGTGTATGCCTCGTGGTCTAGGTCAACCAGCGCCGCCATACATCACGGAGTGGGGGTCAACTACTAAGCCACGCCTACCCCCTGCTATTAAAGACCTGACCTCGTGGTGACCTGCCTCTTTCTACCTACACCAACCAGCAAGCAACACCACCTCCTCCTCCTCCGCCTGCCTGGTGGTCCTCGCTCCCGCCGGCGAGCATGGCGACCCTCAAGCTGGTCCTCCTCTGAGCATCCTCACCAACCAGCTCTCTGTACATCACGCTTGTAACCGTGCTGCCCTTCCAGCACCAAGCTGCATTGTACATCCAATACAACATGTATATAGAGAGCACATTGTGAGTTTCCTTTCTCCAACCCATCCTGAGTGTGAACCAAATATCCTGAACCCCACACTATAATTTCGTAAAATTAAAAATAAGGACACGTGGATATATAATTGTATCAGATATGAGACTTGAAGATGGTAAGATATGAAGACTCAGACCAGGAAAAAGCGGACGAGTTGACTTAAATACTTGCTCAATGTTTACACTAGGGTGTAAATTAAAGTAACCTGCTTTTGAGAGAAATCAATTCAGCATAGCTCAGGGGTATATAAAGTCCCCTCAAAAGTATATTGGAACTACAGTTTCTGAGCTCTAGATGCATAAAAGCAATGGCCCTGGCTAGTATGCATTTCAGTGCGTAACAGACGTGACTGATCGCCCAAGTGGCTAACGAGCCGATCAGTGGTGAAGAGGATAAAAGTAAAGTAAAGAATTGCATGTACAAATCAAGTATCAAAACTCCTTGAAATCCTCTTCTATAAAGTATGGATGAACAAAAGATCCCTAATGACAAGAAATTAGCATGTGTGAATCCTATATTCCGCCTTCTAATCAATATTACTGATAAACAATGAAGAAGAACTTTCAAAGAAAAATTAAAATTTTAGGATCAACATAAATTCTCATTTGTATTAGAAGACATACCGACCAAACGGATAGTGAGCTGAGTGGCGAATATAATGAATCAAAACGTTTTTAGTTTTCATCTCGAAGAAAAATTAAGATATAAAATTTCATCTAAAAACCTTAAATATCTTCCGAATTACAGCAAATACCATTAATAAAGAATTTCAGAACATTTTTACAGGTGTGGGTGATGAAGAACTAGTGTAGATCAGGACAGTAACCGCTCGACTCATCAGCTGCCAGACGTCGCTATGTTGTGAAGGATGAAGGTCCAGGACAACACAACCCAAGAGTCATATTACTTATAGTTAACTTGTGCTCTCCTAATTAATTTTTCCAGGTAAGGGACAGATAGGTTTCTTTGAGAGTTTAATGTGTATCTATAAATATGAATGGTGTATGTATTGCTTGGGTGTGGGAGTGTTAAATAATATTAGGTTGTGTCGCACCCAATCAAGACCATTATCTATTGTCATTTATGTTTACAGATAATTGTTAACTTAACTAGCAAGTTCTGGTGTTGTTATACAGTATTCACATTCTGGTTTATCCACCAAAAAGTTCAAAGAGTAATATTTAAAGACAGTAGCTCAGGTTATTTAGTGACCTAACAAAAATCTTTATAGGAAACTTATTTATTACCTCAAGACTAAAGCAAATCGGGTGGAGTAGCAGCACTTTTTGTGTTTAGGTTTTAGCCCTTAATTTTGGTTAAGGTGCCACTGTTACTTGCTGCCTACATCATGACAGCTGATACCATGATTCTAATAATTTAAAATGATAATGATAAACTTCCAGATAATTATTCAGTTTAGCAGATGACCTGGACTTCAGGATGAAAATAAATTCTTATTTAGAATTTGGTTCTGAATCAATTTACTTTCATGGTATGTCATGTCCAAAGGAACAGTTATGGATATGTGCCCCCCCCCCCTCTCATTTAATAATTTTGAAATCCACAAAAGTGGGCAAGGCTTTGAATTAGAGGGAAATTGTGAGGTAAAAGAGGGTGTGGGGGCACTACCGAACTATAAATACCTACTCTTAACATAATTTAATGCTGTGTTAGTAGCTGGGGGGGGGGGAACCCCCGGGTGTCAGGTCATGGTTGATGAGGGTTGCATCTTAGTCAACACACGCTGATTTTGTTGACAGACACTAATTTTAGTCAATCTATATATTGGGTAATTATTGATGACTGTTGCGCCGGCGATTTAGCATAGTAAATACTGTAGTACGGTAATTATAAAATTGCCGCTTTTGCACTGTGTTTTATAGAGGACACTCGTAGTTTGTGCATTTTTTTTAAACCAACCTAACCCAACTTTAGCTTAACCTAACCTAACCTAATCTAACCTTACCTAACCTTAACATAAAACCACCGCTTTACCACCAAGAAGACAAAGTAGTGTGCACCCTAGGTGCCTAAATATCTACCAAACAAAGCATTTGCACAAGAAATGGTTATTACCTGGTATATCAGTATTCACTGATGAAAATAGAGTAAGAAAATAAACACACAAATAACTCGTCGGCAGGTCAGTCATCAATATTAACCAAATATTGCTTATACCTCTGTTATATTATCAATTTGCACACAAAATACCATTGAAGGAAATCGATTCCGAATTAAATTCTGTATAAGAAGAACCTATTTTCATCCGGAAGTCAAGATCATGTGTTAAACCGAACATTAACCAACTTCCATCCAAGGTTAGGTAGGTTGTTTGTTGTTTTTGTGTGTATCACCAAACTTATACATTTACTGTATGTAATATTAGGAAAATTGGAAATCCTATCTATTGTTATTAATAATATGCACAGAATATAAGTATGGCAACCGTATGCAAAATGTCAAAGTTTATTGGTACAGCAGCCTAATGCACATGCGTGGTGGGCAAACAAAGATAGCTATTAAGATGGCCTTCTTTCTGGCTAATCTCACCTAGCCATTAACAACATAGTCTGTTATTATGGCAGCTGTACCTGTATCCAGTGTAATTTTTGGCATACAGCTACCATACCTATATCCACTATGTTAAGAATCAGCAATGACCTTTTTGGGGATATTATTACTACAGTCAACCCTCACATTACGCGGTCCCGTATTCCGCGGTTCACCGTTAACGCGGTGCCCTGCCGGAACCTAACATGCTCACATTCCGCGGTCGTGAACCCCATTACGCGGAGAGAGGCTGGCAAGCCGCGCCATTTTTGGATCCAAACCTCCCGCCATCCGCCATGTTGTGTAAGAGGCGCGAAAATGGTTCTTCACCCGCCACCCACTACAGCCGGCCCAAGTCAGTGATAGTGATAATTATAGTGAGGATATGGACTTTTATGAACTTTGGGGGGTTTGACAAAGAGGCCCTGCAAGCCTCTGTGGTGGATAGTGATACAATTGATACAAGTGATACAGGTGAGGGCCAATAATCTGCCCTCTGCCTCGGAACCAACCGCCCATCCCTGTGTGCCCAGCCATCTTTTCTACTAATGTAAGTGTTAAAAAACCTAATATTATTGATATTTCTCTTAATTATTAATTGTGTGTGCATGCCATCATAAAGTTAAGATAATATTTTTACTACAACATAGTTGTGTGTCGTCAAAAAGTGGAGTTTGGGGATCGGCCTGGACTCCATTTCAATTAATCCCATATGTTATGTTGTTCACTTTACGCGTTCCTCACTTTCCGCGGTACCCTCCGGGTTACATTAACCGCGTAATGTGAGACCCAACTGTACTCTATTGTCAGTATTAGTACTAGTACTGGTATCATTATTATTTTTAACATATGAGAATAATTTATTGTCATCAACAGAAAATTTTTATAAAGTTGCTGCTGCTGTTTCTTATTAGTGAGTATGAATTGGAACAGCGTTATTAACCGGTATTAATGTTTATGAAACGTTCAGAGGATGACGACGATGGTGCCTTCTGATGCTCACATAAACATAGATGGCGGCTTTGTACAGTCAACAGTAACGGCTGCTTTCTACAAGAGCTGCCCGACTGTGGGCTACAAGAGCTGCCCAACTGTGGGTTCTACCAGAGAAAAGGATGTCGGGATCAACTGTTCTTTTATGACTGAGCCAATAGCTTGGACACTCCTCCTTCTATATGACTCAGCTAGTAGTTAAGTAACTTGGACACTTGTCCTCCTCCTATTGGGTAGTGGAAGTTGGCTGGAACTGAGTGGGTTGATCCCTGATATCCAAGATATCACAACTCATCAGACTTTACTTTAATGGTGACCCTTTTATCCAGATCTCTCTTTTAAGGACAAAGGCTGTGATTTGGGTATTTAGGCTACTGGTAATTATAAGGTTAATTCCCAGCCACTAACTCTACAGGCTGTGGGGCTCAGTCATAAAAATAGGATTTCAGGATTTTTTAAAGTTGGTATACTGTATTCTTTTTCAGACCGACATTACCTTTGATAACATAACCTTATAGAATTTATTGTTTTTCAGATGAACAGTTCCCGAATGAAGAGTTCACGTGTGGTTGTGTTATTGATAGTGGGAGTGAGTGCTGTGGTGATGCTCCTGTACCTTCACTTAGCAACAGAAGTAGCACACCTTCGAAACACCATGCACACTCACTGTAAGTTTTCTCACCTTACAACTTTTCTACTTTGGTATGAATTTTTTTAAATTGAAGGATTAAATCCTTAAATTTGTGCATTTCCATATTTTGACTTTTTCAGGATATCTAATCCCAAATTAATAACACTAAATATTATCACCAAACCATTCTTCAAGGAGTTCAGGCGATCCTCGCTATACACTCTCCCACTATAAGTACCTTTTGTCTTTATGTAGTGCATTAATGAATACTTCTCTATTAAGTATAACATATATTTACTGATATACATTTCTCCAACCATGCAAATTTTAAAGGATATGCCCATCCTACTTTAGACCACACCACTTCGCTACAACCTGAACCATTCCTCTGAATGGAGTTCACTGTACAAGTACTACAGTAGTCTCCCAGTTAGCCAGAATAATTGGTGCAGAATGGTTCTAGGTTTTAGAGATTTCCAGGTACTGCATTGAGACAAATTTTCTCATTCCAGAAAAAATCAAACACCCTCTGAATTTTTCTGGGTACTGGTGAATGTTTCTGCATTGGACTGCAGTTGGACAGACACAACTGTATTTATTTATGCAAACACTACCTTGCATGTACAATGTATTTTAAATAAAGACAATACTCTATACATACTACTGTATACTGTACTGTACTGTAGTGTACTGTATTGTACTCACTAGTAGATGCTGTCATCTTGAGCTTGTGATGTACAGGCAAAATGGTGATTATGATAATACAGGATGGCTTGCCTTTGTCCTGTACCATCGACTGTGGCAACTGGTGCTAACTGTCACTCGCGTCTCCTTCCATGAAGGAGTGATTGTACACACACTACTGTACATACGCCCTCTACACACTAGCCTACAGTAGGCATACACTGTTCATTCTGCTATGTGTAGTATTGTACATAAAGTACTTTCCTACTTGCTGCATGTACAATGAATGACAAAAGTCGTGTCGTAAAATTTAGTGAAAACATATGCCGAAGGGCTAAAACTTTTGGTGCGTTCTTCCTTTGTGGTAGGGCTCTCATAATGTTTCACGAGTTATATTTAATCTTTGGACAAAGCTGTGACACAACTTTTGTCTTTGATTGTACAATACAGTGTAGAGAACTGTAATCACTTTTTACATCTTAACACTGCTTTAATGGTATTCTTGGTGATTATATGCTGGTACAGTAATGAACAGTACTGTACTGCACAGCACAGATCGTTTGCAAAAACAAGAGTGAGCAACAGAACAAGCTTGTGCAATGGCAGCTGACAATGAACTAAGAGTGTCATGATGTTAGAGTTTGAGATAGGCTGCATGACACATCTGCCAATCATAGATATCCCATGCAGTCACATGACAGTAGTAGTGAATCGTAGCTCATGAGCACTCTGAGCCTACCCATCCATGTCGGTGCATGATGTAATCTCTGAAATTTGTTCAAATGCCCAGGGAATCAGATTGGGGACCACTCCTTCTTATCGAGAGATACAAGTGACTTTGTTGTTGGTTATTTTCTTAAAACTTAACCCCAATCCCTACAATCTTCAACTACTCCAACAAGACTTCAATAATGCTACTGGTCAAGAAATAGAAGACCTCATTGAATCTAACAGTGAAAAAGCTAGTAATGAAGGATTACTGGAAATGCTTGAAGACAGCTCTGACAACAGAGAAGAGAAGGGGGAAGAAGTGCAGAGACCTTGCCTCACCACAAAAAGTCTGTATGTACATTTTCCATCAGGTGGAAGAGGCACAAGAGAAGCTGGTTGAGATGGATCCAAGTCTTGAGAGAAGCTGAAAAGCCAAGAGAGGAATACATGATGTACAGTACTGTCACCTTACAGGAACTTTTGAAATACAGTACAGGTATATCAAAATGAAAGCCAAACAAGTGCCAATAACTAAATTTTTTCAAGGTGTGTCAACTTCATAATCTACTGCCTCTTCAGTTACTCTGTCTGCATCTACACCAAGCCAGTCTCTCGTACACCCCTCTCCAAGACCTGCAGCATGCCATAAACTTTCTAGTACTCCTGCTCCTCTAGAAGTATATATCTGTACTCTTCACCAACATCCCCTGATTCTCCACCACCATCACCTCACAATGGTCTTAATGTGTAAATAAGGAAAGCAATTTGGTGCGTAGAGCATGAAAACTACTCACCATATACATTGCCACCATAATTCTAATAACTAGTTATGGATTCTTTTTTTCAGCTCCCTTGAGTTATCAGGAAGGTACTCCACCAGTTGGCAGAAACATCCTAGACCCTGACAACTTGGTGATCATATACAACAGAGTACCAAAGACTGGTTCCACCTCATTTATAGGACTGGCATATGATCTGTGTTCCAAAAATAAATTCAATGTTATTCACTTGAACACAACCAGGAACACTCCAACACTGTCTCTAACAGATCAGGTGAGAAATGTTGCCATCTCTCTCTTATAGAATACTGTACTATATTGCTTAACTATTTGTATTTATTTTTTGAGAATACATTTCAAAATTTTACTAATTTTTCAATGCATATTGTGCCCTTGTGTAGGTTTTCTATGAAGGTTTTGATTCAGGTTTGGGTTCTGATTCTTTATTTAGAAAAAAAAATGTTGCAAGTACTGTATAGTCATATCTCCACTAACCCCTTCATTACTGGGATGCCACTATTAACATTTTATTTGGCTGACGTCAAACGATTTTTGCAACTCAAAGATGACTCTGTACACAAGGGTTAATTTATAATCATTAATGTTTGTAAGCCTATGTTGGAAAATACACGAAAGTGGATCTCATAGGCCTAACAGACTATTAGAGGAAGTGTGGTTACAGCACACTGAACATTAGGCCTTTGGTTGATAAGGAACTTTACTTGTGAATTTTATTGCTGATGGCAGTTTACAGTTTATTCTCTGTGGATATTTAGAATAATCTCTAATAGGAAAGGCACAAACAGTACCTTTTTTGAATTTCTACTTTGTTACAGATGCGATTTGTGTACAATGTATCAAATTGGGTGGAAAAGAAACCTGGAATATATCATGGACATCTTGCATACCTTGATTTCAACAGGTATAGTACTGTATACTCTGTAGTTTGTAATTATTCTGATGTGTCAGGGTTCTCATCATGTTTACTCTTAAATCTGAACTTTTCTGTTTCTTCACTTTATTAATACAGTATTTAACTTTATTCCATTATTTCACAATTTCCAGTATTGAAATATAGTACACTTGTACAGTGATATCCCCGTTAGCTGGGAGATTTCAGGGTAATGAGACTACTCTCAAACACGGAAAAATCCCACAGGAACTGAACCGTTGCTATAGACCAGGACTAGTGTACTGTACTGGGATTTACTTTTTTAAATAAACGTTTTGTTTTACATTATTTCTGAGAAAAAACAAAAACAACATTAAGATAGAAACAGTTACTGTACCAGAAATCCTCCTCCCTAGCATGGTATTAGCATAATTTTGATGAACAATGTAGTTTTCAGGAACAAAACCTAGATGCTAAACAAGGACTACCATACCCGTGGTATTTGTCCCACTCATACTTGTTTGCAGGCTTATTAAAATCTGTTCAGCTTCGGAAAAAAATATAGGCTTAAATGTAATACTGTATAGGTGCTCCTCTGCTTATGAACGAGTTACGTTCCTGAGGCTCGTTCGTAAGACCAATTGCTTGTAAGTTCAACTTTACCATTGTAGATAACAAACATATTGTAAAAAATTAAAAGGTAATGGATGTTTACTACAGCTATACCTGTACCCTACAATACAGCCTTAAAACCTGGCTCACTCTTCTCTTCTTAGGTAAAGTGTGTTCTATCTGGAATTTTCTTCAAAATAATCCAGTCTCATCCATATTAAACACCTGCTCTGGAAGGTAACCCCCCCCTCAATGATGATGTTTGTATCTCTGGAAGTTTGTGCGTCGAATGTTCTTAAGTAGAGGAGCACCTGTACAGTTTACAGGTGCAGTGAACCCTCGAAGATTCGAACCCGGTAAATCTGGATTTTGGAAGATTCGGACAAAATTTGGGGGTTCTAGGGGCTAAGAAGCCTCCCTAAGAAGCATTCCCAAAACAGAGCAAAGATAATCTTAGGCCCATGTAACAAAACTGTCAGCACGTGGGACACAGGTACCTGAGGCTGGTATTATTTCATTCACTCTAGTAGTGATACAATGTTTCTTATTATGTTATCATAGGTAAGTGCATGGTTTATATAATTTGTTTTTCACTGTGCCCATCACCCTTTTCAAATTAGACTACAAAATATGTTTTCTCCCGGACATATTTCGATCGTATGCCTGGCAATGGGAGCGAGTGAGTAACCACTAGTTAGAGTGTCGTCTGCTCTTGTAACTCTCCAGGCTCCCTGCCATACTTCACTAGATTTACTGTTATTATTAGTGTTTACTGAGATAGTAGTGCTTAATATTGATTAATCATGGCATTGTAGCCAGGTTAGACTTGTCACTGTAACCACCAGGCGACTGAGTCAAGCTGTGAGGTGTTATGGTTCTTTTCAACTCGTATTTTCGGGTATACGTAACTTTCTTCATTTATTTTTACTCTGTTACATGCACACACCATCCTACATAAATATTGTGAACAAAAGAAAAAGAAATTATTGTCCTAAGGGCAAACACGTAAAGGGAATATAAATTACTTTGCACATGAGTTAGCGGGCTCCATGAGGGAACGGGAGGAGATCGCAGAGTGTAGGGGGTGGGGAGTATTGCTAGGGAATCAGCGTCCCAGCTAGTCTTCGTAACTATGGTGAAGCAGGGAGTTTATGCAAATGGCAACTGTGTTAAACATTTATTTGGCTTTTATTTACTGATTTGGCAATACAGTACGTACAGTATTTATTTTGTAACTTATTTATTGGGATAATTTTTATTTATTCCTCACATTTCCAGGTACTGTATATATTATTTTAAGAAAACTACAACTACAGGAGGGAAAATACACACAAAAGTGTTTTACTAAATACTCCCTGCTAAAAGGGGGGTGCGTCTTATATGCCATAAAATACAGTGCAGTAGAATCTCGATGATATGAGTAGATACGTTCCTTGGAGTCTGCTTGTATAGCGAAAACTCATATAACAGAGGGAATAATACATGGGTTAAATAGGGATGCGTTCCCAAGCACCATGTTTAGCGATGACAGTAAATAAATGCGATTCAGTACGAGCGGACATACTGGGATAGCAGATTCAAACACTGGAGAAGGGAGAGGGTGGATGGGGGAAGGACGGTAGGGAGGTAGAGGACGGTAGGGAGGTAGGGGAGGGGTGCGTGGCCTGGCTGAGTGGCTCACAAACGCGTCTCTGCGCATTTACGCCATGAAAGACACCACAGACCACGTCACTGCTTGTTCCGCCTACTGGGCTGGGTAAACTGAACAACACTGTAGCCAAGTTAGACTCATCACAGCAACCACCAGGCAGGCTACTGGGCCAAGCTGTGAGGTGTTATGGTTGTTTTTCAACTCGTATTTTCGGGTAGATATACGTAACTTTCTTCATTTAGTTTTACTCATTTAAATGCACACAACATCCTAAATACATATTGTGAAAAAAGTAAAAGAAATAATTGTCCTAGGGGCAAACCTGTACTCAAATGTACTGTACTAAGTTATTTAATAAAAATTTTATGTCTAGTGCAAACTATGGGATGTTTAAACTCAAATTAATCACTATCTTACAAGAATTCCAGCAATGGGAGTTATACTCTGCCAAGTCAATTCAGTGATATTTTATAAGTGGAAAACTTAAACTCCTTCTATATAACTGATAAATACGCACTAGGTAACCTTCGCCGCCTGTCTATCAACACCTCACCTCCCCCTCCCCCATCCTCCCAGCCTGGGTGAAGGTGGGCTTAGGCTTAGAGTTTTTGTCTTACGAAATGTTGCTGACTAGATTTAGCAGAATATAACTTGCATTGCTGGAATCCTTGTAAGATAATGAATAATATGAGTACAGTGATCCCTCGGTTAATGAGCGCCTCGGTTAACGAGATTTCGGTTAACGAGTTACCTTCTATAAGATTCTTAACTTCGGTTAACGAGCATTCCCTCGATTAACGAGTTTTTTACGAGCCGACCTCAATGTTTTTGCTTGCATTTGGCGGTCCACCAGCTGTAGTATTAGTCCGCCAATACAGTAATCAGTTTTAGGGCTTAAATTCCTTACTATTTTAGTAAATATCAAGAAGTTTATACTATTCAATAATTTTAAAAGTTTAATATTAAATTTTTTTTAACATATTTTTAACAATTATTGAACATAATTGAAGGTAAGGAAACTAGTTTCATGCTCGCCATCCAGCCTGGCAACACAGCAAACAGGCGCCAGTCTCTCTATCTTTTCAGTGGAGGTAACATCTTGCTTGAGACTCTCTTAACCTAAATGCTTTTTTTCTGTGTTTGCAAGCAAATTACAGTGACCCCTCCGTTAACGGACTCAATCCGTTCCAGAAGGTCGTTTGTTAACCGAAAAGTTCGTTAACCGAAACCATTGTTTCAATGGGTTTTTGGGTAATTGGTTCCAGCTCACCGAAAATTTCCTAAATTCAACAAAAATGGTAGAAAAGTTCACTTACTTTGAGGTGTGTATGTAGAAGGCTCCTGGATGATGATGATGATGATGATGGGATTTAGAATGGGGGTGGAGGAGAAGGAAGAAGAGAAGGCATTGGGGTGGAAGAGAAGTCACCCCATGGCGCCATTTCACCCATAAAATTTTAGCTCTCTGGTGTAATTCAAGATTATTTTCTTTAAATCATCACTGCATTGCATTATATATTGTCAATATGTAAAATATATTTCAAAATGACCAATAATTTGCTTGGAAACACAGAAAAAAAGCATTTAGTTGAAGAGAGTCTCAAGCAAGATGTTACCTCCAGTGAAAACAGAGAGAGACTAACTCCTGTTTGCTGTGTTAAGAGGCTGGATGCCGCGCATTAAACTAGTCACTTTACCTTCAATTATGTTCAATAATTGTTAAAATGACTAAAAAATTGAATTTTCAACTTTAAAAATTAATGAATAGTATAAACTTCTTGATATTTACTAAAATAGTAAGGAATTTAAGCCCTAGAACCGATTAATGTATTGGCGGACTGATACTAAAGCTGGTTGCCCGGTCAGTGCAAGCGAAAACATGTTGAGGTCGGTTCGTAAGAACTTCGTTAACCAAATTTTTTTCGTTAACCGAATTGAAGATCCTTATGGAAGGCAGTTCGTTAATCGAAATTACGTTAACTGAGGTGTTCGTTAAACGAGGGGTCACTGTATTGGTCATTTTGAAATTTATTTTACATATTGACAATATATAATGCAGTGCAGTGTTGATTTAATGAAAATAATCTTGAATTACACCAAGAGAACTAAAATTTTATGGGTGAAATGGCGCCATGGGGTGACTTCTCTTCCACCCCAATGCCTTCTCTTCTCCCTTCTCCTCCACCCCTATTCTAATTTCCATCATCATCATCCAGGAGCCTTCTACATACGTACACCTCAAAGTAAGTGTACTTTTCTAAATTTTTTTGAATTTAGGCAATTTTCGGTGAGCTGGAACCAATTACCCAAAAACCCATTGAAACAATGGTTTCGGTTAACAAGCAACATGCTGGAACGGATTGTGCTCGTTAACCGAGGGACCACTGTATAAACATCACATAGTTTGCACAAGAGATAAAACTTGTAGTCCTTTAGTGTAGTACATTTTAGTACAAAGTGTGTACAGTAATATGACTTTTTCACAGGAAAAGGTCTGTAGTATAACTAATCCCAGTGGTCACTGTACTCGTTTCTTCTATCATCGAACAATATCGCTCGTATAGCGAATATAAGGCACAAATTCCTTAACCTCGTATCATCGAATTCTTGTTTAAAGAATGCTCGTATTACGAGATCCCCCTTTACTGTTTTTGGGTGTTTTTTACATCACTATTTATTGTTTTTATACATTTAGTACATTTACGGGAAAATTTGGACAATCGGCCTTATCAGACGGGTGGCCCCCACTTTTAGTCCTGATCTTCGAGGGTTCACTGTATGTACTGTACAGTACTAAAGAAATTTTTTGATTAGGTGATTAAATTTTCAAATACAGTATATGATTACTGTATTTTTTGTAACCAATGGGGGTACAGTATATCTGCATCACTTAGACAATTTTAGTTTATTTTCAATTAATATTGAACATATTTTATTCCCTATAGATTTGGTGTTAGTCAACAGCCAATTTACATCAATATAATACGAAAGCCTCTGGATCGCCTGATATCATACTATTACTTTGTCCGCTACGGCGATGATCTTCGACCTTATCACATTAGAAGAAGAATGGGAGACAAAATGGTGAGTTAATTACTGTGTTTCAGTGTTTATGAAAAGTGGGTGAATATTTATAGGATAGGCTTACATTTACTGCTGTTTGTTTTCCAAATGGTTTCTCTGTGTAAGCTACTGTATGTACATTAAACTAATTGCTACAGTACCATGACTTTCCTCACTGAACAAAGAGTATCTCTCTCTCATGGTATAATTTTTATAACTTATGCATCAATTATGCAGCTCCTGTATAGTTAACAAATCTATGGGTTAGCCAGAGTTCCCAAGACCCTTGACATATGTAACTGGGACTAAATTCCAGGGGATATGGAAGGTGTCAGATGTTATTCTGTGACCCTACTTGGTAACAAAATAGACACGACAATCAACCCCTTCAGTTCCACTCACCTGGGTGTGCTTAACAAACCATATATTTTGGCAGTTAAGCACAATGAAGTGAGTAAGGGTAGTTAGGTACCTGGGAGAATTTTTTCACCAGATGAAAGACTTGAAAGACTAATTAAGGTCAAAAAAATAATTTGTATTAGGTATGCCAAGATTATCACACATTCACAACTCCATTTTGTTTTTACGCTATTCACCACGTCAGAAAACATGATCTGTTTCCAGTTTAACATAATCAGTAGATGAACATGTTGTGGATGTGTCCTGGAAAAAGTTTCTTCATGTTCCCAGACTCCTTACTACAATACAAGCATTCCTCAATTTATGAAAGGGTTCTGCTCCTGAAGAAATGTTCATGAATAATTTTTAAATTGGATCACATTTTCCCAAAGACTTTAGAAAAAACTACTCCAAAACATCAGAAAATGCTACAAAATATGTTATTAATGAAAATTTTTGAATTTACAATAATTATAAACTAATAATAATCATACTAACTGAATTATTGTACATACAATGGAAGACACAAACTGAGCTGAATGTTTCTTTTACTTCTTGAATAACAAAATGCAGAAAATATCATAGCGTACATACCTGTACTTTAAATAATAATTTAAAAAAGCACATTAAATACTGTACAGTCTATTAAGAAACTGAGGGTTCCCTAAAAGTAATTTAAATGGGTTTGTTGAAGTTCCAGAAGCTTCTAGTGAGTTATGACAATTGCCAGAAGCAAAAAGTTCATAAATAATTATTATCTTATTTAGTAAATAGCTCAATACCTTGATTATCTTTATTTGTATTTATTTGTTTTAATGAAATATTATCTTTGTTTTCACATAGTTATTGAAATTAATATCGGTTAAATTGAACCAGACTTCAAGGTAATTTATGGCAAATGCTCCTTGTTCTCACATTGGTCATGTTCAACAAAGCCTTATTCATGCATTCAAACAAGACATGTACTGTATACAGTAAATAGAATTTAACAATCACTGGAGATGGCAGAGAAAATTATTTGTATCTATAAAATGCTCAAAGTAGTAATGGTGGCACGTACATATTTTAAGGTCATATACAATCTTCTGTTATCCTTTTTCACTTTGTCTATTTCTTCATCCCATCACCAAGTTACTGCGTGCCTGGCTGAGCCTTTTATCCAACCACTCATCTTGTCTACTGTACTTAGCAGAACATCCTACCTTATAATTTGGCTCACCATCTCATTTCACTGCCCCACACACTATCGTTGGCCGATTCCACTCTTCTTAACCCAGCCAAAAGTGCTTCTCTTACATTCTGTTCTTTCAATTTCCAGCTTTCTTTCATTAAACATACACCTTCCTTTTCCTGTGCCTTATAACTAACATGGCACACTCAAGCAGTCTTTGCTGCAAGGCACATTCTTCCCCTTCTACAGTATAATCTTTACATCCCTAGCAAGCTTCCTATCTGATTTCCTGACAAGTATGTAGTCAATCTGGGTTTTTGTGCCACCTGACTCAAACACAATCATCCAACTTGCTCTGTTTTTAAACAGTGTGTTATGTACAGTCGGCCCTTAACATACGCGGGTTTATAATACACGGATTTGCAAATACGCGGATTGCCCCGCCGGAGGAATATTCTGTGCTTTGAAGTAATTGAAGTACATTCAAATCACGCGCCATTCAACTCGCGCGCGGCACCGAACACGGGACACCGCCCGCTCCCGCAACCTCACACACACACGCATAGCTCTCCCTCACTCAGTCAGTCTCGCTGTAACCACGCTTGTGTTGACATCAGCCTTGTAGTTGCAAAAATATTACATTTCCGTGAATGTATTATATCAAGCACAGTATGAATAGAATATCACTAATATAAGAGTATTTTAACCGAAAACTACTAAAAAAACGAGTAACATATCTTGAACATCGGAAGGTTAGGTAAAGTCTTTTGTTTTCATTTAGTTTATCCTAATTTACATTGAAATGCATTACGTTTCAGCAAAACTACTATTTATTTCTGAGAATATGGAAATGTAATATTTTGCTGAAATGACGTACGTATTACAGTGGAAAGTGACGAAAGCAATGACTCGCTTTCTTTCGTTCAAAAGATGTTACCGTAATCGCTTTTCGAATGGTTTTCAGTTAAAAACTGTTGTATTACAATAATATTCTATACTAATTCACTTGTGATGCAACAGTTTTTTTAACTGAAAACCATTTGAAAAGCGATTACGGTAACATCTTTTGAACGAAAGAAAGCGTAAGTCATTGTTTTCGTCACGATTTTATCCCACTTTCCACTGTAATACGTACGTCATTTCAGCAAAAATATTACATTTCTGTGAATGTAGTATATCAAGCACAGTATGAATATAATATCATTGTAATATAACAGTATTTTAACCGAAAACTATTTAAAAAACGAGTAACATCTCTTGAACATTCGAAGGTTAGGTAAAGTCTTTTGTTTTCGTCATGTATTTTATCCTATATTACATTGAAATACATCACATTTCAGCAAAACTACTATTTATTTCTGAGAATATATTCATTCAGGCACAGTTTAGGTAAAATATACATGTGCTGTAACATTTTTTTAATTGAAAACGATTCGAAAAACACGTACCCTCTAGCCCTGTTCAAGGAGAAGACTGGGAGGAGCTGTTTGGTGTTGAAGACGATGACAAGGAAAATGATTTTGATGGATTTTAATGAAAATATTCAGAAATATGGTATCGTAGTATTTATTCAAGTGAATTAGGATAGAATATTATTGTAATACAACAGTAGTGACGATGTGGAGGAGGCGGAGGGATAGAGCGGGGAGGAGGCGGAGGGATAGAGCGGGGAGGAGGTGACTGGCGGGAGCAGGGATGAGTGGAGATGCCAGCCAGTACATTACAGGTGTACAGTATTATTTGTTTTTATAGCTCTTTTTGCATTTTAATATTAAATACTGTACATTACGTTTCAACAAAACTACCATTTATTTCTGAGAACATGGAAATGTAATATTTTTGCTGAAATGATGTACGTATTACAGTGGAAAGTGGGATAAAATTGTGACGAAAGCAATGACTTTCTCTTTCTTTCGTTCAAAAGATGTTACCGTAATCGCTTTTCGAATGGTTTTCAGTTGTGGGATTATAAGGCTAATGATAGGATAGAATATTATTGGAATACAGTACGAGTACAACAGGTTTTTACCATTCGAAAAGAGATTACGGTAAAATCTTTTGAACGAAAGAAAGAGAAAGTCATTGCTTTCGTCACAATTTTATCCCACTTTCCACTGTAATATGTACGTCATTCCAGCAAAAATATTACATTTCTATATTTATTTCCGAGAATATATTCATTCAGTCACAGTTAAGGTAAAATATACTTGTGATGTAATATTTTAATGAAAATACGGTATCGTAGTTTTCTTTTGTTTCAGATTTAATTAACAAAGATTGATGTTTCAAATGTAATGAACAAAAATTTATGTACAGTATCTATAAATACACTTTAATAAATGAATACTTTATGTTTTACATCGTCCTGTGCTACCATACCATGGATTTGGCTACTTTGGGCTTGCTATGATGACGCAAGAGATCTGCCCTGGCAACTGTACCGACACTCACAGCTGGTGGTGCGTTGGTGCATCGTTTCCATTGTTTACTGGTAGTTACTGGTAAATATTTTTCAACCTAACGAAACTATTACCCTTTTAGAGGTCGACCCCCAATTTTTGCCAAATAATTTGGTCTTAAAAACTCGAACTACACACAGGTATATACGGTAAATAAGGACATGGGGGGCCAGGGTTTTTTTTTGGGGGGGGCAGCACATATATGGGGATTTTTAATATCCACGGCTATCTCTGTTACGTAACCCCCGCGTATGTTAAGGGCCGACTGTACAGTACATCCATATTCCGTGCATCCCTAATCTTAAGTATATTTTCTCCTTCCATATTCCTTGTACCATAGCATTTCATTTTCCTCCATGGACACTTATAAACCTCTCTGTGTTCACCAGTAAAATGATAATAATTGTTATTATTGTAAGTTCAGTATTATCATTATTGTTTTTGTCTACCTTTGTTGATAGTTGTGTTTGCCTGACATAATTGCAGGTGGTATTATGAATGGAGAGTTACATGGGAGAAGACGGCGGCAGGGATGTTGACGAAGGCTTGGGTTGTGCACCACATACTTTTGAAATTGCTGGCATGCAAACATCAGAAATGTCATTTTCTTTCTCTTAAAAGAAATTTCATGCCACGATAGCTACTCACAGCGTCGTATACAATTCTTGCTACCTTTAAACTACGTTGTATGCCAAGATCTTTTTATTTTTCAAAGAGTGTCAGAAGTTCATCAACAAGATTGGATGCATTTGAAGTGTTTTGATAGTCAGCTTGCGAGCAGGTTTTGTTATCAGCTTCCTTCTCATCTGGCTTTTGTAATTCATCTACCTGGATCAATTCTTCATTTCGTAATTCTTCTTTGTATGAGTCAAGTAAATCTTCCACATTATTCACCTCTACCTTGTCAAAGCCAACATCTTTAGACAACTTGACAGTGTAGTTTTTCACATTGCAGACATTCTCATTCTTCGGGAAGTCCTTGAAGCTGTGTACGCATACATGCTGGCCACAGCCTTCTCCAAACTCCATTCATACAGGCAGGTGTTACTTCAGCCCAGGCCTCGCCAATAATAACAATAGCATTTTTTTTTAAGTTCCACCGAAATTCCTTTATCGTTGGCGTGTCTTCGCAACCTGTCTCTTTAATTGATTTGATGTCGCACTCTTTGCACTGCCCTTAATTTTGCTAGCATTTGCACAAATTGTATGTAAGGTTGCTTCATGGGTAATACTTTATGACGGTTGTGTGCCTTAACTAGCAATTTAACGGAAATTTTTCTGTTGAAGATAAATGTTTTTTTACTTCATGATAAGCCCCCAAAAATGGGGAGAAGAAGTACTGCGTGATATAATTTTTACGATTTTTGCCGCCCAAAAAACTATTCTACGATGTATCCATTGTTTACATACGAGATGCTTCAACAAACTTTCAAGCTACTGCCTCATTATATGATTTATCGTTGATAAAATGAACTTAATCCTCACTTTGTATGTGTGAGTGTAAAAGATGACACTGATAAATTGTAAAAACAAAACAAAAGAAAAAGCAAAGTTTTAGCGAGTCAATACAATATGTGTGCATAAGTATAGAGGTTGGGGTATATCTGTCTCACTGACTTTGTCTACAGCTGCCAACCTGATGGAAATTGTGAAAACAGAAAAATCACACCAACACTCTCTCAGTTCCAAATTTAACAAATGTTTGTAAAGAAAATCATCATCAATACAAATTTGGTACGTACAGTAATGAAAAATACCAGTTGGCAAGCGTATGTCTTGATGATCCTGTGCTGCACTCAGAGACTTCATCCACAACATGTCTAGTTATATATTTATTTATTGATTGTGTTAAACTGAAAATGGATTTTATCAAGTGAAAAGTGTGCTCAAATTGGTTAATCGTGTTGTGTGAACTCATGTTAACCAAGGAGTTATTATACACTGTATAATTTGTACAGGTACTTATTATTGCACTGTTCTGTTTTATCATTATTTCTATTTATATATTTGATTCTTTTGTATAACTGTGATGATATTCATGCACTACATTGGTTATTTAGGTATTTATTGAAGATAAGGAATTTGCTTGTTTTACTGGTAATTGCTTCTTGTTTGGCATCACAAGGAGGAAATTAAATTGGAGTAAGAGTTTAAAGCTCAGGATAATCTTATATTGAATAAATGATTAAAGAACCAAGTACAGTAGAATGAAATAAAATGTTGGCATCGTAGGTTCACTGAGAAATTAACCATCATTATTCCAAGTGACACCCTCCTTATCTGACATTCCCTTCTTCAGCCAGCAGTCATGCATAGAAAATTTGGTGATGTACAGTTATTAATGTGACTTTCCTTTTAAAACTCATGCATGGTATTCCTTATTAAAATGAATGTGATTCTACCTGTTTTCAGGGTTTTTTTCTTCATAGATTTAGATATTTTATGCATTATGATACCTGGGAGATTTTTTCATGTCTAGGTCACATCCAGTGCTTTGTGTTATGTGGGTAGGAGAATCATATTTGATAGTTATACACCACTAAATTGAACATTTACAAATCCTGAAGCACCACATTGTAGCTTATCTTGCCTTGGCAAAGCAACAAGTTTATCACTTTGCTTACATTATGTTCATTTTAGTTTTTTATTATTCTGGTGTTAATTGAATTGGCCTTAAGACATTTCAGATGTACAGTTGTTTGTTTATAATATATTATTATAACCAGTTAATCAGTTAAATAGGAAGAGTAACAGTGATTATGACGAAACATATATAAGTAACTTCTGTCTTAATTGTTTTCTAGACACTGGATGAATGTGTAGCTATGGAACATCCCGATTGCTCCACAACACATCTATGGGTACAAGTTCCTTTCTTTTGTGGTCACCATGCTGAATGCTGGTAGGTGTTTGTGGATGTACTGTGGCAAGGAATATTTGCACTCTTTGTTAGTTTTCACTCACTCATTCTCTCACTTTCCTTAAGTAACCTCAAATGAACAAAGGAAAAAAAGGGAAAAGTGTTGGTGATACATCTGCTGTATAGTATGTACTACTTCAGTGTTAGAAATATACACTTGTCATGTTCGTAAAGTTTCAAAACTTCGAAGTACTTTAATTTCTAACGTGATAGCTTTTCTCTGCCTCTTACTACTTGAACTACTTTTATCACAGCTTGAATGTTTCTCATGTTTACATCACTGTCATCCCCACATTGTGTGAGATTAACAGTCTGTGAAAGCCCATGCAAGTTGAGGGGATTTTTCTGGTTCACTGATCAATATTAAATCATGGTAAGACAAATTTGCATAAGCCAAGGGTTAACCTTACACTGAACGCTCACTAATTTGATATTGTCAGGACTCTAGTTTGATCGAATTATCATGAAATATTGAATAATCTTAATGTACGGTAATTAATACACAATTCTGGATTTTTGCCACTATTGGTGAGAAAGTCAGGATTATTATGGGAGGGTGCTTGATATTTCATACAATACTGTGAAGCCTCTTAACACAAAAACTTAACTTATCCTGAAAAATAATGCTGCCAGAAGGCTCCTTGTGGTGCTGAGGCTCTTGGGGAACCTTGAAAGCCATGGCTAACAAAAATGAGGCAAGTTTTAACAGAGGTTAGTAGATTGTCCAGATGCTATGCACAGGGTGCTGCTTCTGACACCTCATGGGTGCCTGACTTCTTTTTCTTGAGGGACACTTTGTGTAATGTGTGCTCAGTATACTGGTAATATAATAATTTGTATTAGAGTGTTATTAATTATTATAATACTGTAATAGTTTTTATAGATGTTGGAATAACTTTCCAAGAAAATTCAAGTTTTGTAAGCATTGACTGTCTTCCTTTACTTTGTCCATACTGTTTTTATACTGTGTTTCATATGGTCCATATTCTGAATCTCATTTCCAGTGCACCAGTGAACTTTCCATAACTTTTGAAATTTTAATGAACTGAAAAGTATACAGGATGAATGGAAGATTTATTTATGTTTTTTGTAGGAACACATCTCCCATTATACAGGGTGAGTCAAAAGTCTCCATACATAGGCAAAATGATCACTTTATTATGCAATCACTTGTAAGTCACAAAATATGCTCTTTGTGGGCACCATTACACTGAATGCACATACGGATGCGTTCTTCCCACTCATGGCGAACGCTCGTTAGCAGGTCTGGTGTTATGCTCGCACACTCATCACGAATGCGTTCCTTTAGGTGGTCCGTGTTTTGTATCTTCACCCGGTACACCATGGCCTTCAAGTGCCTCCACAAGTAAAAATCAAGGGGGTGAGGTCTGGGGACCTCGGAAGCCACTCCACGGGACCACGGCGGCCAATCCAGTGAGCCGGAAACTGCTGATTCAGCCACTGGCACACGCGGATACTGTAATGGGGTGACGCCCCATCTTGCTGAAATGTAATGGTGCCCACATAAAGCATATTTTGTGACTTACAAGTGATTGCATAATAAAATGATCATTTTGCCTATGTATTTTGACTTTTGACTCACCATGTATATAGGAAGACATGTGGGTTATTTTGAGATTTTCAGACTATTTTTTTTTTTTTAATCACGAAATCTTTGATATTTTGTACTTCAGTAATTCAATAAACGAGAGTCAGACATTAACAAATTAGTGAGGGTCCAGTGATATTTCTTTTGAGTAGGGTTCTGGTCTTTCATGCTGTAGAGAAGAATATTACAGTACAGGTACTCTCTTCTTTTTATACCACATTACAGTACAGTACTTGTATATTTCTCTCAATTGCATTATGTTTACTTATTCATTCCCCAGCTTTAGTATAGAACTCATCGCAGTGTTTAGCACTGAAATTTCTTCATGCCACACCATTGTACATTATAGAACTTCAGGTATGTCTCTCAGAGGATACTTCTCCAAACCCTTTATTTCCTATTAGACTCAGAACTTGCCAAACATAGGAGAATTCTAGATTGTAACCCCCATAGTTGGCATTATATTTATTTATTTGGTTTTTATTGCATTCAGGCTTTGCTAAATATGTTTTATGTTTGGAACTTAATGTCATTATTTTTCCCACAGGGTCCCAGGATCTGGTTGGGCTCTTGAACAGGCAAAACACAACCTACTTCACAATTATTTTTTGGTTGGGGTGACTGAGGAAATGGTGGATTTTGTAGCCATGCTGGAATACTCGCTCCCTCGCTTTTTCAGAGGCTCTTATGATCTCTATCTTTCTGGTAAGTGCTAATATTATATACCGTAAAAAATGAAGATTTGTTCACCCTGCTCAACTCCCAACTGCTTAAGGACATCCAGATAAAGTATCCCTCTAGGGTCTTTTCTTTGCCTGAATTGTTCTTGGGACCCATGGTGACTGTTTTAAGAGAAAAAATCAGGATAATATGGGAGTGTGTTTATGTCTATTGTCAGAATATTGCAGACACTGATGCAACCAACCCAGGATATAGCTAAACATACTGGCTGTGAGGGAATCTCATGCATGGAAGTCCAAGACACCACTGAGTTGGGGGATGAAAAATTTGGTGCTTAATGAATCAGAACCTGTAATATACAATAGTTAAAAAAGTATCTGTACATACTCTACGAGAAACAATATGAGACCACGGAATTAGGCATTGGGATATATGTGTTGTCTCTTTATACTAAGTGATAATAAAGTCATCACTTACCTGTTTATTTTATTCCTATATGCCAACTCACTCTCTTTGTTGGATATTGAATGGTGGTGGGTGAAGACACGCATACCAACCCTCCCGAGATATCATGAGTTTTACATATAATTTCGGAAGTCATCGGACCCACCCTGTCAGATACTTTTTTAGCTACTGTACATAGGTAAATCATTGTAAAAAAAATTCACCTGTGCCTTATTACCAACCATGGTGGCCTGGGTTTGAACAATTTTTTACAAGTTGTGCTTAAATCGATGGGCTCTAACCAGGCTCAAATTTTAGTGTAAAAAATCCCTGTAAATATGTAGCTGGGATAATTATTTTGTTATACTGTATACTGTACAGTACTTCATGTATAATTGTACTGTATTGTATAAAGTATATTGGTACCCATGTAATACACAGTCTTGTAGCCTTTCGATTGGACATCATCATTCACTTGGTTATAAGTCCATTGATCAGTTGACTTGGTATCCTACTCATCAGAAGACTGTTGTAAGCTGATGTGTGGTTAAACACAAATACTACAATATGAAAAACAGGAAAATCAAAACCATGACATAATTTTTTGATACAAATACTGTACCTGTAGTTGTGGTGAATTTCATGAGTGAATATTTTTTTCTGCAAAGCTCATTTGTTATTTTTCAATTTTTTAGAGCAACTGATATATTATTGGATGGAAACCGATACAGCTCCTCCCCGACTTACGACCTACTCGACTTACGACCACCCGCACTTATGACCTGCCTTGGTCGTACCAAAATTTTGTCAAATTACATATTTTCGAGTCCCAACATCAGTGATTGTGCTGTGTACTGACAAATTTTTTGTCTGTAAGTCACTTTAAAATGGCTGGCAAGCTTAAAAGTGAGAGTTTTGTGGTGCTGAGAAGAAAAAGAGACACATTTTAGATTTTCTATGGATTATTTAAGCATTTTCGACTTACGACCATTTCGACTTACGACCTGGATTTGGGTCCCTAACCCCGTCGTAAGTCGGGGAGGAGCTGTATTTAGTATTTAAATACAAGGCTAGGAATGTATTCTTTGTACAGGCACCACTTACTGGGCACTTACTATACTGTATGATGTTTACTATTTTTGTCAAAGTCATCTCTCTCAACAGGATCTAAATCTCATCTGAGAAAAACTGTGAAAAAAATTCTACCTTCAGAAGACACTATAGCAAAACTTCAGAATACTAAGGTAAGATTAGTACTGTTCTGTTTAGTGTATACTGTACTGTACTGTATGTTATTTAAAAAAAATATAATACACTCCTTGCAATGCAGTGGGTGTTCTGTATGTTGAACATTACAGTACAGTAATACCCCGCTTTACGCGTTTCTGTTTTACGCGTTTCTACGTTTACGCGGTACCCTGCTAGAACCAGAATTCCCGCTTTACGCGGTGCATCTACCGTATATCACGGCCTATAAGGCGGCGGGGTGCATAAGACGCCCCCCCCAAATTTCCATTTAAAAAGTAGCTTTTGAGCTCTATTTGCTGTATAAGACCAGTACCCCAAATGTGACACTTACCCACTGACTCAGTAGTCCTTTACCAACCATCCTTGATTTTTTAAAATAAGGCCAATTCACTTCAAATTTCCATTTAAAAAGTAGCTTTTGAGCTCTATTTGCTGTATAAGACCAGTACCCCAAATGTGACACTTACCCACTGACTCAGTAGTCCTTTACCAACCATCCTTGATTTTTTAAAATAAGGCCAATTCACTTCAAGTAATGTCATCAAATTATACCCGCTGGTGTAGTGTAAACACTAGTGACGTCACTGAAGCGTGTTGGGAGTGTTCCCTCGTCTCGGTGGTGTGACTATTTATACAACATGTGGTTCAACAGGAACCACCGTATTCTAATTGTGGTGTTTCATTAGGATTTGAGTGAAAAAGGTTACCAGTATGTACTTACTACATACATTTATTACACAAATATATATATATATATATATATATATATATATATATATATATATATATATATATATATATATATATATATATATATATATATATATATATATATATATATATATATATATATTTATATATATATATATATATATATATATATATATATATATATATATACTGAATATACTATGTACAAAAAATGAATGTTCAATGAATTATTTATGGTGCATTAGGGTACTTCTGATGGGCTATAAATAGCCTTCTTTATCTCCCCTCCATCTCACCCTGAGCCAGACGGAAGGGTCTTGGTAAATAACATGTTTGCTTATTTTCCATTTACTTTAAATAGATTTACCGAATTATTTGTTTTATTCATTTATTTATAATATACTGTAATATATTAAACACACTGTAATTATTTTCTTTAATTTATAAACTGTTTTGCGACAAAGGAATGTTCTCCAGTAGTGTTTCATTAGGATTTGAGTGAAAAAATATTACGTACTTACACAATTGTTCCTCTTACTTTGACAACACAACATACATACAGTATATTATTTCTCAGTTTTGATATTTTTTTTTAATTTTTGTATTTATTTATATTTAGTTACTTAAAATAAGGCCAATTCACTTCAAGTAATGGCATCAAATATTACCAGCTGGTGTAGTAAAACACTAGTGACGTCACTTGAGCGCCTGTAATTAACCGCCGATAGTTTCAAGAATTAATGCACTCATTTACTGAATATTCTTTGGAAAAAATAAAATTTAAATCAATTATTTATAGGAGATAAATATTATTATGAGTAAATATACCGATACCGGTATGCATTACTGACCAATCCACTGCCCTCACTGGCAAATGGGGGCGTGGGGAGGGGTGTATGATGATAGCTGTGTTTATTATAGGGGTATAAATCTCTTTTACGGTATGTTAGACAGGTTTATAATACATTTTTATTATTTTAATATACCGGTAATCTTAATTTGAATCCAGCTTGCCAAACATAAGTTTCAGTATAAAATAATTAGTGGTAAGACCTTGTGAGTGGCTTACGATGTTTTCATCACCACTCTTGACACACTAAACCACAATATTTAAGAGGTAAGAATTTTAAACTTGGTGGTTTAGACGACCCCCTAACTTTGGGCAGATTTTTTTAATGTTCAAATTTCGTCTTATAGGCCGTGATATACGGTACTCATATACGCGGAGAGCAGCTGGCGGTCATCTTGCGCCGCGCCATTTTTTGATTCAAACCTCCCGCCATCTCTCCCGCCATGTTGGGTAAGCGGCGCGAGTAGGTTGCGCAGTGTATGTCTTTGTTGCATTATCGGTGACGTCATATGACGTATCGGACTGTGATTGGGCCACGCATCTTTACCTCCCTCCCCGCTAGCTGTGATTGGTTTAATGTAATATGACGTGCCCTGCCGCGGGAGGGATGAAGCCCCTTGACCTACCCGCGTCAGTTACACCCCTCCCGGCTACACCGTGTATATCGGTATCCATTGTTCCATAAGAATGGCTGCCACCGGACCACCACCACCACAGAAAAACCTTGCATTACCTGGACCCAGCCGCCATAAGCCAAAGAAGATACGACGTGCCCTAAGCTACGAGGTGAAGTACAAGATCATCCAAGAGTTGGAGAAAGGAACAACACAGGTTGATTTGGCGCACCAGCATGGTGTGAACGAATCTACGATCCGGACGATAAAGAAGGATGTAGCCAAGATAAAAGAACACATGAACATCACCAATGTATGGAATAAGTCATTTATGTCCAATGTATATTTTCAGCCTTCGGGCTGCAGAACTTTTTCAATAAACCGTTAATTATTATTATTATTATTATTATTATTAAGTCTGCAGGTGCTTCAATGATCAAGTATTGCCACAACAAGGTGCTTCTCAAAATGGAGAATTTACTTGTGAGCTCCTTGATTCATCAGGCAAGACGGAACATGGCGGTCGACACTCGCTCAGTTCAGGAGTACGCACGTGAACTGTACGCAGCAGTGTCACGTAAGATGGGAATTGCAGAGCCCAAACCCTTCAATGCTTCCTCTGGGTGGTTGCACAGGTTTAAGAAGAAGAACAAGATCACCAACATTAACATTGGTGGTGAAGAAGCGAGTGCTGACCGTGTTGCGGCTAGGGATTTTCCTCCGTTCTTACTTGAGATTATGGAGGAAGGACAGTACACAGACGACCAGGTGTTCAACATGGACGAATCCGGTCTGTTTTGGAAAAAGCTACCTTCCAAGACCTTCATTGTCAAGTCTGCCAGCATGTGTCGGGGCCGGAAGTTGCAGAAGGAGCGCATCACCGTCCTCTTTACCACCAATGCTTCCGGTTCCTGTAAACTCAAGTTATCGGTGATCCACACAGCCCGCAAGCCACACGCCTACAAGAACATGGACATGACCAAGCTAAATGTCCACTGGCTGACCTGGTTTGATGACTGTTTCGTTCCCGACGTGAAGAAATTCTGTGAGCAACAGAATGTTCCATTCAAGATTTTGTTGCTGCTTGACAACGCACCAGGACACTCGCCCCTACTGTTGGATCGTCACCCCAACGTAAAAGTGGTCTTCCTTCCTCCCAACACTACGTCATTAATCTAGCCCATGGACCAAGAATTAATCTGCAATGTGAAAGCTGCATTCTCTGCAAAGAAGTTTAAGCTCCTGAACGACTATACCAACACCAAGGATGAGTTGCGTAACCTGGGTGACACCTATAGCAAGAGCGACGAGGACGAGGAATAACAGTTGGCAGAGCAAGAAGTTCTTGTGAAACACTTTTGGAGGAAATTTAACGTCAAGAAAGCTGTGAACTTCTTGGTGGGGGCATGGGATCCACTGTCTGTAGCAACGGTTCGTCATGCATGGTGACATGTGTTGCAAGGTATCCCAGGTGGGAGGCAGAGTCAACCTGTGATTGGTGAGGTTCAGACTGTTGCCAGAGAAGCTGCGCAGAGTGTTACAGCTGCAGGCTTCTCCGAGACCACCAACGACCACATTATGGAGGTGATAAGGGATCCTGATGTGACTGCCGACGAGATGTTAGAAGACGATCACGTCAGTGAAGAGGCAGGTGGTGCGTCATCCCAAGAAGAACACAAGTTATCGCATGGTAATGTAAGGGGTGCCATCGAGTGTGTAGAGAAACTGAAGCTCCTCCTTTCCGACGACCTTGACAATAACCGGTATGAAGTCTTCACTACCCAACTGATGCAGACTATGGAGCCCTACATCAAGGTGTATCACGACAACATCAACACTAGCCGTCAACAAAGCATTACCAAGTTCTTCGCCCGCAACCCACCATAGCCAGCTCAAGCCAGTGATAGAGACAGAGACAGTGATGGTGACTTTGAGGGATTTGTCAGGGAGGCCCTGACAGTGATGGTGACTCACCTGAGGGCCAGTAGCCTGCCCTCTGCCTCGGAACCAGCATCCATTCCCGTACGCCGACCCTTCTCTTCTACTAACATAAGTGTTAAACCTAACCTTAATTTTTCCTAACATAACCTAACCTTACGTAAGTGTTAAACCTTGATTTTTCCTAACATTACCTAACCTTAGGTTAGTGTTAAACCTTGATTTTTTAAAACATAACCTAACCTTACGTAAGTGTTAAACCTTGATTTTTTCTAACCTAACCTACCATGACGTAAGTGTTAAACCTTGATTTTTCTTTTGCCTGGTACAGTATATTATTCTCTTATTGATATTTCTCTTCTATATTATGTGTGTGTGCATACCATCATAAAGTTAAGATGTTATTTTTACTAAAATGTACGTATTGTGTCGGGAAAAAGTGGAGTTTGGGGGTCGGCCCAGTCTCTATTTCAATTAATGCCATATGTTCTGTAGTTCAGTTTACGCGCTTCCCGCTTTACGCGGGCCTCCGTGGGTTCAATTGACCGCTTAAAGTGGGGTTACACTGTACATGGATTGAAATTCTGCCCACTTCCTTGATATCAAACGTACTGTGCAGCATTTGTGTTGCTAATCAGTATCTTTGTTAAATTGATATATCTTTGTTAAATTGATACAGGTTGTCCCTCTCTTATCCAGGAAAATGGTGGTGGTGATAATGATGATATTATGATGACTGTTCTCATCCTGTTTGGGTATTGCAAGGACTAGAAATACTTGAGTCCTATGATTATAATGGCAGTATTGCTCATTGGCAGGCATGGAGGCTGCATAGATTTACCACCTAGTTCAGTGTTGAGGTCCACTAGGGTTTTTGGATCCTTCTTCAGTAGAACATAGCTAGCCCTGTGTTTAAACTGTGGATGAGAATCCAATTCCTCGGTGTCTCACTCCTGCCGAATGCAACGAGACATATTTGATAGGGGTGGTGGCCATGGCATTGGGGAAGTCTAATCCTTCTCTCCAGGTAACATGCCATCTCCATGGGTATTATTCCTCGTTATCCCTTGTTTAGCGATAATTTCACTTAACGCTAGGTTTTTCAGAAACGCATCCCATCTTTAAACAAGGGATACGTGTACGTATATAGTAAAAGTTTTGTTTTTCAAAGTTTTGATTTAAATTATGTCATGTTACATAGAATCCATGTAAATCAAGGATTTACCATTTTTTAATTAGAAGTAGGCTTAATAGTAAAGCCAAGGAGTCCTTTTTAAAAAAATTTATCAATTGGAATTTTCATGCAAATTAATGTTAGTTTTGATTCCAGGTATGGAGATTGGAAAACGATTTTTACAACTTTGCACTTGACCATTTCCATTTCTTACGGAAGAAGACCCTGGTAGAGTCTGAGGGCAATGGACACCTAATGAACAGAGGACAAAAGTTTGCATACGAGAAAATTAAACCTAAAAGAAGCTAGGATATGATTCCTGCAGAAGAAAATATGCAAGTATAAAGTGATGCCAGACTAAAGGAGCACTTAGTAGCTAATGGTAAGGTGCACCACTTACCTTCTTTTCTTAGTATGTACACAGTACAGTAAGTAGTTAGTCTGAACTTACATAGAATACACTAAAGTGCCTAGATCATTATTTACAAAACATCCTATTTGTTTTTATGTTAGAATTATGTGAATTTATTTCTTATGTAATTTAATACTTTAGTCAAACATTGAAGATTTGTGTAATAAGTTAATGGTGTTGGCATTATCTCATTATATATTTCTTAATCAAATCACAGAAAGAAAAGACAAATGGCTTTGCTCTCCTGTGAGCTGTTCTCAGGATTTGATTTATATTTGAAGACTTCACCAAAAGTCTTTAAGTATTCATTTTTCTATGAATCTTTTGTGATTCAGCACAGGTTTATTGTCTTCTGATGCATTTTCTTCTTCTTCAGGCATGGTTCCAGGTTTAATATATATATATATATATATATATATATATATATATATATATATATATATATATATATATATATATATATATATATATATATATATATATATATATATATATATATATATATATATATTACATTGTATTAATTTTTTTTATTCTTTGGTAATTGAAATAATGCAAATTATTCTTAAGCTATTATTAGGATAACACGACAGATATATTCCCCGTTTATTGTTTGAGTGTATCTTGTCCACTTATTGAGAATTGAAAAAAATTAACCATGTTATACAGGATTTTATACATTTTCTGTACTGTATATATTTTCTGCACATATGTCTTGCACAGCTGTTATTGGTAAGGTAATAATAGTTTAGAGCTTGAAAACAATGTTACTTTGACAACTTCTGTTTGTATACAGAAGAAAAGTATTGTAGTTGCCCACATACCAAGTTCTCCATTTTGTATCTCATATTCTGGATACTGTATCTCATTTTCTCTGTTAGATATTGAATAAAAATTTTCATGTATGCTTGTACTTAAGATATGTTTTATCATTATTTGGTATGTCAGTTGCCTAGAGGTATAGTAGAGTTAAATTCTAGTGAGTACCTGATCAGTTTCCAGAGACAAAAGTTTCTCTATGGATATCATATCTTTGGAATATAAAAAAAAAAAGCCAGGGTATCCTCAAATTTTCATGCATCCTCATCTAAGGTGTACTTCCAAAATGGCCACCCTAAATTTGTGAAATCATGTTTTGCAAGTTCAGGGTTGCCCCAATCATCCCAAATTGCCCTAAATTACCATATTTTCCAATATGATATGTGAATATATTATTTTTATGATTCTTGCATAGTTATGAAGAAGTAGTTACCATGGAAATCCATGATGGCGACCTAAATCAAACAGTAAGCCCAAATAATTAAAGTTTCTTATATATTACTCAGTGTTTCAGGATTATTACAGTCCCATTTTATTATTTGTAAAGTTATTGTATAAAACTCTTTGCTAATACAGGATTTTTGGTCATGTATCTCCAGGAACTCGCCACAAAGAGGTGGTTGCATATTGAATTCCAACAATGCCCTCCCATCCACCCAGCCACTAGACACTTGAAAGTGCACCTGTTAGTATTCCGTGTACTACATATCATTAGCATCATGCGTCTCAGAGTCTTTAGAGCCATCACTGTCTTCATCTGCCTGAACTGTAGTTCAGACTAGTCTCAGTAAGTTCCTTGGCAGTGCAGGTGAAGTGGTACACACTTCTTATCTTTGAGTTACCACCTATGGATTAGGGGGGATGGGGGTGGATTAGGATTATGAAAGTTCAGCAGTAGGGAAGCTGGATAGTTTTCACTCTTGATTTTAAGGTCCAAAGGCATTTTGCTCTGGGGGTTGAAGTGGTTTAGATTTCTTTTCCATTTGTCGCCATTTCTTAGCTCATGCAGCACCCTTTGTTTTTCTTTTTCTGTCATTGCAAACGTGTCATATTGTGAACTCGCTCTCAGTCAGTTTATCAAGTGTTATTTATTTAATTGAGTTATTACTACCTTGAATTTCTAAAAGTTGCTGAGCATCATCTGATATCGTTGAGTAAACATAGTTGTTCATTTACAAGTTATGAAGGACTACAATTGCTATGTCATTACTCAAGTGACAGGCAATGAATGTAGCAACTGTTCATTGTTCACACCACATGAGCTTATTTATGGCTGGTTCTATCTAAGTACCACCAGCTGAAGTATTGTAAACAATGGCACTCATGTTTTTCATAGTGGTCATGGAATCCAATTTCACCATCAAACTCTTCTTGGATCATTGTCTTGATTTTACCTGATTATCTGATTATATTGAACTTTCCAACAAATTATTATAGCCCAAAAGCATTCCCTTAATAGTTCAGGGCCCATTAATTTCCAAAACCACTTTATGTACAAGTTGCAGGAACATTTACTTGGCCTTATCAGTTAGCACATCTTCCATGTGTATTGTAGAATCAAATTCATAATCATCATGGTATAGGGGATACATCTACTTCCTCCAGCATGATCAAGAGCATATGGGTCAGGTGTAGAGGCAAGATAACCAGAAGTCTATCACACATTTGGTCATCATCACTGTAGACTTTGTGTGATTTGAAGATGTTTCAGGCATCCCCAGGCTGAAGGAGATACTGTATAACTTTTTTATTTTCTCGAAGCTTCATACATCACGCACAGATTTTTATCATGGAGTGACCCAATAAAACTTCTTAAGGACCTCGCAGATGTGTCCTGGTGACAGTCAGACATGAGGGATCACCTGGTGCTGACAATGAACTTGTGCTTTCTTCATCTAGTTTCTTTTTCTGGACTTGGCCTGTTGCAGTTTTTATATGCTTGTTACCTGCATCTTACATTTTTTTGGCAGAAATAAATCATCATATTAGGTCCTTCATCTTTGTCTTCATCACACTCAATTTCACAAATTATACATGTACAGTATATGTGTTTTTTCTTTTCCTCTCCCTTGTCTTTGGATGACTCTTGAATAGTGGCTAAGACTTCTCTTCTCATATAAACATGACACATTCACACCTAAAACATAATAGCACATATATTATGATATTATGTTACCATTATTACCAGTATACACAGTACATGTATTTGAAAATACAGTAAGTCCTTGGTTGACGTAATGGTTACGTTCTTGTAAAGCTGCGGCTTTATGTGAAACAACGTTAAGCGGATCAATTTTTTCATAAGAAACTAAAGAAATAAGTAGGTTACGTTCCCAGCCTCCTTTCACCCTTATAACATGCATTACATTTGAGACAATGTAAACACGATTGTAAATACTGTACCCGTATATTCTGCTCTGTAAATACATATAAATATAAACTACAAAAATTTTAAATTAACAGTTAGCATGATACATATATTGTACTCACCGATAGCCAAAGGTGAAGCAAGCGATCAGTGGGAGGGTGGCAGGAATCACCGAGACCCATAGGGTCCTCCCACTTCCCCTACTGCCTGGGTGTCGACTTGTGCTTCTTCTCCTGCTGTCTGTTTTCTTCCCTTCTGAAAAAAAAAACAGCATCCAGTGTTAACTGCTTGGTTTGCTTCCTCTCTGTATAGTTTGTAGTAGTACTGGTCTTAATTTTCTCAGCACTAGCATGAATAGTATGCAACGTGGTAGTGGGTAAGCCCAACGCTACTCCTATATCCATAGCACGTTCGCTGGCTTCAAAGCAGCATAAAACATCCATCTTCACTGCAAGAATGATGTTTTTCCATTGCTTCTTGCAACTCGCACTATAGTAGAACATCAATATAACACGAAATACGTTCCAAGAGAGGTCGCTTTAAACCAAATTCGCACTAAATCGAAGTGTTGTTTCAATGGAATAATTTAGTTTGGTACTTGAGAGAAACACAAAATACTAAAAAAGACTGAGTCTACCCAGATGCACCTCAGCCCGTCTCCTAGAATAAACAAAACATTGTTTTTTGTAGTATTATGTTAAAACAAACAATCATAAATCAATACAGCTAAAATTATGGTACGTGAAATGGTCTGTTTACTAGCGATCAGCTGATGGGGAGGGGGGGGGGGAAAGGTGAGGTGATACGTTTGATGGTTGATGCCAAGGTCTAGTGCTTATTTATTTATCTGTTCTTAAGAGTGACTTTAAGTTTTCTCTTATAAATGTAACAACTGACTGGTTCAAATTAATTTTATTGCAAAGGGCTAACATCTTTATCTCTCGTGCAAAATATATGACGTCTATATTCAAATTATCCGCTGTCTTGCAAGGATTCTAGCAATGCAAATTATATTCTCCTAACTTTAGTCTGTGATATTATATAAGATAAAAACTTCAAGACTAAAACCACCAAACCCTGGCTGGGAAGATGGGGGAGAGGGAGGGAGGGATGAAGGGGAGGTGACATGTTTGACAGTTGTGCTGAAGGTCTAGTGAAGTATTTATTGGTTTATTTATCTCCTTTAGATTGAGTTTTTGTTTTTTGTTTATAAAATGTCATTGAAGTGACCAGGGAGAAAATAATTTACATTGCTGGAATTCTTATAAGATAGTGATTAATTTTAATATAATCATGCTATAGTTTTCACTAGACAAAAATTTTAGTACAGTAATCATTTAGTACATTATTTTGAGTACATGTACAGTACAGCTTTGGCCTTAGGACAGTGTAGCGTGCCCAGAGAAACGTTAAGCGCGAATTTTAAAATACGATGCACCAGATTCACTCGCGCAAAATAGGAAAGATTCGCTTTAAATTAAAACATTGTCCTTAATTGTGGGTGTCCCTTTAAATCAATAATCTTAAATTGAATCACTTTAAATCGACGTTCTATTGTACTAGTAGAATTACTTGCTGGTCATTTTGAAGCCATTCCAATGGGCAAAGTAGAGCAAAACAACATGAACAAGGCATACACAAGGTACACAGAACATGCAACAGCCTCCACACTTGGCAGAGGCGTAAGCAAGACTAATACTCTACAGTAACATTGCACAACATCACTAGACAGGCAAAGGAAAGTGTTGTGTGGAGCAAAGTATTACTGTCTGACTGACAACGTAATAACAACTTTCCACAACGTTGTGTGGAGCCTGTTTTTTTTTGTTTTTTTACGGGCACCGGGGCACAGGTCAATGACCCACATCAGGGCCTGGGGGCGAAAATAAAATACAGTAATAGTAATAATAATAATAATTAATAAAAATGAATAAAAAATGTAAAAAAAATTATTAAATCAAATTATAATATAATAATATTATGATAATAATAATAATAATAAAAGACCATAAATATAAAAAAAAGATAAAAATATCTATAGTGAGAAACGATATACAGGTGTACACTGTATGTATGTTGTGTTGTCAAAGTAAGATAAACAATTGAGACCCTGCAATTGTGTAAATGAGGCAGAAAGTCAGATCAGCAACCTGGGACTGGGTCACAATTTTTGTGATGCCATATGGCAGCAGGGTC